CCTTGTTTTTTTAAGGAATTTATGATAGGTAGAAGCCTCATTGTCCCTCAGCCTTGAGGGGATACTGTTTTTGATGTGGAAACTGTGAGGAATCTTTGCGTTTTATTTGAATTGGGAGGGCCATTTTGGCCCTCCCAATGCCCTGCAGTCATTCCATCAGTCTACACTGTGGGATGTACTTGTTCCTGAAGAAGGGGGCAGCAGAGATAGTCACCTAGGTAGAGTAGAATTTGGGCCTTTAGTTGAGATAGTAAATTCCATCCCAGCAGGGGCATTGGAGTCTCAGGGACTATGAGAAAAGAGTGACAGAAGTGGAGGTCTCCCCAAGAGCAGGCCAGAGGCCGAGTAAGATAGTGCTCTAGGGGCTGGCCAGATATGCCCCGAATGATAACCTTGTTATTGGACTGGGGACGGGAAGAGAATGGTAAGACAGAGAAATGGGCTCCACTGTTTAGGAGGAAAATGACCTTTTGCTTCCCTACTATCATGGTTACCCAAGGCTCCTCAACATTGATGTTAAGAAGTGGAGCCTGGACAGGAGACCCCAGAACCCATCAATCCATAGGAGGTGGTACCCGCCTTCCATCTGGAGATGGGGGCACTTAGACCTCCAGTGGTTACCTTTGCAGAGAGGGCAGGGTCCTGGTGAGGGCCGGGGCTGTCTCCCTGGCTGTCCCCCTTTTGGGCATTCTCTGCAGAAGTGCCCCTCCTGACAACAATGGTAGCAAGCTCAGATGTAGGCCCCCATTGGGTGGGGAACTCTCTGAGAGCTATGATGAGGTCATGGTGGTTTTTTTATCCTTTTCTTTCTGTTTAGTGACATCCCAGTTATAGTATACAGACATGGCTAGTTGCATTAGTTGGTCCAATGGTTTTTCCCCTTCAGCCACAGACTTTTGGAGTTTTCTATGGATATCTGGGACTGATTGAGTTAGAAATTTATCTTTGAGGAGAACCTCTCCCACCTGTGACTCTGGGTCCACTGTAGTATGCTTTCTGATAGCGTCCTTAAGACTCTGTAGAAGGGTAAGGGGGTTTCCTTCAGGCCCTTGTTGTACTACAGTCACCTGGGAATAGTTTAGAGGTTTAACTTTGGCCCTTTTTAGCCCTTCCACTATAAGATGGATGAAGTGGCATCAATGCCATTCATCCTCCTCACCATTTTGATCCCAATGTGGATCTGTCAAGGGGACTGCCTGTGCCCTATGGGTATAGACATATTTATTCCCTCATGTCCAGGTACCACAGGTATTGGGGCTTGTTGTAGGTGGAAATTGTCTCCAGCCTGAGTGGCCTGGGCCAGGACCTGTTGCTTTTCAAATGAGGAAAGAGTCTGGTCTAGAAGAAACATAATATCCTTCCATGCCTATTCAAAGGTTTGGATCACAGAGTAAAGACCTGGATGTATTGGTCTGGGCATCAGTATAGCTATCCAGATCTTTTTAAATTTCCCTTAGATCTGATAACTGGAAGGGGACATAGACTCACCCTCTTCCTACCACTGCCTGTTGAAGGGGAAAACATCCATTAAAAGGTTCTGAATATTGGGGTGGCTTAGAAGGTAGGGCAGAGGGTGGAGCAGTAGGGAAAGGAACTTGTCATTGGTAAGGGACTTTTCTGGTCCTGCTTCCCCATGTTTATCCTGTGGCTTACAAAGAATGGCCAGTGTTTGAGTATCTAGATAGCAATTATGGAGCCATTCTGGTGGTCTTGGAGATAAAAGAAAAGCTGTATATAGGAGACCTCAGTCCACTTTTCCTCCCTTTTACAGAAAAGGTCTAATTAGAGTATAGTATTATAATTTAAGGAGTCCTCTGAAGACCACTTCTCTTGGTCACCCAAGGGATATTGAGGCCAGGCCTTAGTACAAAGAAAGATGGGGTTTTTTTTCTTGAGCTTAATAGGGTCAAGGTCCTTCCAACATTTCAGCAGACAGGCCAGTGGAGACTGCTTGGGTACTGAGGCTGTAAGACTGGAGGGGGCAGGTCCCATCTGGAAGAACAACAACAACAAAAAAAAACCTGGGTCAGTTCCCCTCCTGTCGGCATCCTGACTGGGGATCAGACCTGATGAGAGCAGGTGTCCCTGTCTCATGATTTCCTTCCACCATCCATGACCAGGACTGAAAGAAATGCAGTGACTGGTTGGGCTAGGCCTCCTTACCGACACAGTGAGGAAAAAAACTCTAGGATCCTGCCTTTTAGCCTTATATTACCAAAAGCAGGCAGCCTCTTTAACAAAGGCATACCTTGTTAACAAAGGGATGCATCACCTGGAGAAGTACCTGCAAAGTTAAGAGGAAAATTTTTATGCTGAGGTCAAAAAATATAGGAAATTTTAAATGAGAAGTTTAGAGACCACAGCAATGCCCTTTTTTTTTTTCCTGTCCCACAAGTTTACATTAGTGCTTTTTGGGACCATAACCTTGAGATAAGAATTGGCTCCAAGGGCTGGGTCTATCAGGCTCAGGTGGGCCTGAGGTGGGGCTGGAAGTGAAGTGGGGCTTGCGCAAGGTGCTGCCACCTCCCCCCCATGCCAGGGATGAGCAACCCTGTCTGCCCAAGACCTCCCCTGCAGCTTGTCGCTCCTCCCCCCATCCACAGGCACTTGCATGCATTTATTTTTTCTCTCATCCCTGTTTTTGGGGGAAGTGGTGGCAGGTCACAGTCACCTCCATGTATGGCTGGTGGCTTTGGATGTGTGCCAGGCCCTTTTTATGGATTGCCTTAGCTGTGGCAGGTGTTACTGCTGCACCCAGGGAGTCCAGTGGGAAGGGCTGGTGTCCCTGTGCATGAGTGCACCTGTTTGTTTTCCCTCCTCCCCTTGTTGGGGGGGAGTTAGGGCATGTGTGTGATGTGGCCACAGTTTCCTGTGGGTGCCTTTGCCTCCCCCAGAACCCTGCAGATGATTTAAAGTTGGTGTGGACCAAGGGGCATGACAAACTAGGTGTAGGAGTAACTTAAGAAAGTCATAAGGTACCATGGTACAAGTTTTCCATAGAAGGCCAGGGTCCCAGTAAGCACAGGGAGGGGAAGGCAGACAGAGATGAAGGACAAGGCAGTGGGACCACGGAGGGAGCTTGTGAGTGAAAGTATGTCTGCTGCTTCTGGCAGGGACAGAAGGGGTGACCTGACATCCTAGGTAAGGGAGGGGAAGGCAGAGCTGGGAGTCAGGACACACACCTGAGGGATTAACAATTAGGTGTGCTTTGAGGTCGTTCCCATTAAATGGTACTGGAACACTGTCAGCCACACAAAATCTTCACTCTTGGGTCACTGCCTCCCACAGAAGGGGGTATTTGACAGGTGGGAGAAGACGAAGATTGTCAGGTACCAAAATCAATCAGGTCTCCCCAAAGTAGAATAAGCATACCCGAATAAACCCCGGACTTGGTCTCAATTCACAGGAAGGGAGCAAAAGCACCCCCAGAGCCAGAATCTCCGTGAGGCCAAAGTTGGCTAGGAGCTGTTGATTTGATACCATGATGAGAAAGTCCCTCAGGAAGATAGAACAGAGAGAGACAGGGGGAACAGCATAGGGAAGTCTGCTCTTGGCTAGTCCTCAGCAGGGGTTTCCCCCAGCAGGAGCACCTAGCAGGGTGCTGGAGACTCATGGCCACACCTTAGGCATGCCCCTGCTGATTTGGCACTCAAGTCATACTGACCTTGGTCCAGGAGAGAAGTCCCTTCATGCAGTCGCCAAAATGTTACTTGCTGATGTGAAATGTTGTAGGTCCTTGCCTTCACAGGCCAGAGAACTGGCTCATGAGGCCGCTGATTGGCTTGTGAGCCAAAGCTGGTATATGAAGTAGGATTTATTAGAGAGAAAGGAAAGGTTACAGCTAGAACAGTGCAGTGGAGCCCAGAAACCGGTGGCTCCCTGCTCAGGTGAGGCTGGGGCCTTTATGGATGTTTTAACTCTGGGTTTGGGTAAGGGTCAGGTGGGCTCTTCTCATGGGCCATGGATTCATGGGCTCTCTTAGATGAGCTGGTCTGTTTGCCCCTTATTGGTGGTAGTGGTGGGGAAACAATCTTGAGAGCATTTTGCTCATCAGCCCTGTAGCAGATCTATGAGACCCTGTATCTCCTCTTCGGGGTGAGATTTACACCTTCTTTCTCAGGATGCTAGATTCATAGTGCTCTCCATGGGGGATGGGACACTCATCTGCTCTTTAGTTCTCCAGATCCAACAAAAACAGTTCATCTCTAGGGTGAAAATGACAAGTCAGGTTTTAAAGTTGGATTATTTATTGAGAAACTCTTAGCTTTAAATACATTTGGCCCCTGGGATGGGTTCCTGGACTTGGGTCATTCATTATCTTGTTAAACGAGAGAGATTACCTGTGTAAAACTACCAGTTCCTGCTCCAATTAATAGAGAATTTCTGTTTGAAATTCCTAACCAACACCAGGCCTAACTGATGTTTAAAATGTGGATTACTTTTTTTTGGTGATACTGGAGTTTGAACTCAGGGCCTCACACTTGCTAGGCAGGCATTCCAACACTTGAGCCACTTTGCCATCCCAAGATGTGGATTACTCTTGAATAAAGTGAGGATTACGCTTTAGGTGAGTGACTGGCTTCAAAGCACCCTGACCTCTGGCTACTTAGTCTTTTTGTGGTACTGGGGCTTGAACTCAGGGCCTTCATCTTCAGCCACTCCACCATTCCTACTTTTGTGAAGTGTTTGTCAAGGTAGGGTCTCACGAACTATTTGCCTGGTCTGGTTTTGAACTGCAATCCTCCTGATCTCTGCCTCCTGAATAGCTAGGATTTTAGGCGTAAGTCACTGGACCCCGGCTGGCTACTTAATCTTAATAGAGACTAGTGCAGTTGGGAAATTGAATTACAATGATTTTTTTTCCTTTTCTTCCTCCCATGGCCACTGCTTATGTCTAGCTGCCACCTATCATTGGGGATGGGACCCAAGTCTAACCCTGGATAAAATGACACTTTTCTCATTGATTAAACTTGAAACGCTTTCTCCCCTTTGCTTTCCAGAGGCCGTTTCTCTATTGTAAAGAAATGCATTCACAAAGCTACCCGTAAAGATGTTGCTGTGAAATTTGTGAGCAAAAAAATGAAGAAGAAGGAGCAGGCTGCCCATGAGGCTGCCTTGCTTCAGCACCTGCAGCACCCTCAGTACGTCACTCTACATGACACTTATGAGTCCCCCACATCTTACATCCTGATTTTGGAACTGTAAGTACAGGTTCTCTAGCATGGTCCCATCTGTGTAGATTATTTATTGCCCAAAAATAATGGCAATTATTTTACACAGTGGTTTAAAATTTTCAAAGTATTGCATGTAACATGTACTCTCTTCCCCTCCTGTTTTATATATCCCATTCTATAAATTAGAATATCAAGAAAAAGGAAGGTCCTTAATTAAAGCTATCTCTTAAAACTAGGAAGTGGAGAAATAGAGCTGAAATCCACATCTTTATCACTTTTAATTTTCTTTTTATTTATTTATTTGTTTTTTGCAGTACTGGGGTTTGAACTCAGTGCATACACCTTGAACCACTCCACCAGCCCTTTTTTGTGATGAGTTTTTTTTCCAGATAGGGTCTCGCAACTGTGATCCTCCTGATCTCTGCCTCCTGAGTAGCAAAGATTACAGGTGTGAACCCCTGGTGCCCAGATTTTTTAGTTTTATTTTGTTTTTGATCAATACAATGGTACATATTTTTTGGAGTGCAATGTGATATTCCAATGTATATTTACACTGTAATGATAAAGTCAGGGTATTAATATATCCATTACCCTAAACATTGATCATTTCTTTGTGGTAAGAGCATTAAAAAAATTCTCCCTTCTAGCTATTTGAGATATACAGCAAATTATTATCACCACACTATGAAATAAATCGTCAGAACTTCTCTTATCTAACTGTAACTTTGTACCCATTTCTCACTCTGATTTTCATTTTCTTTCTCTGATGGATTCTTAAGCTAGGCAGAAGTTTAGAAAAAGCTTATTGGTGTTAGGCTGGTTGACAGGGGTGAAGTTGAAATGAGAGGGATTTGTGTGCCAATCACAGCCACAGTATTTCCAGTGTACTCAAGGAATTCTTTTTAGGGTGGAACTTTACCTTCAGAACATCCCACTTATTCCAGATTTTCTAGAGAACAAAGGTGAAAAGATAAAGTTCTTACCCTCAAGGAACCATAACTTTAATGATTAGTACCAAGAGATAGGTAAACACCAGGAACCATGCATTGGAGAGGGTTGCTGTGAGAACACAGAAGGTGCTTGGTTAGAGATGAACTTCAAGGAAGATGTGGGGGAAGCAGTGCCTGAACTAACTGTGCTGAATCTTGGTTATGCTGCAATTGTGGGTCTCCCCACAATTATGGGTCCTCAGTATTTCTGGTAGAGCTCTCCTCCACCAAGCAATTGAGATTCTGACTCCCTAGTCTATGGTGGGATGTAGACATCTGCATTAGAAAAGCTTGGTGAACTTGGTGGCTGAGACTTTCTAGGTTTGGAGCACTGCTACTGTAAATTTCTCCCTTAACTGCTTCCAGAAGTTCAGGATGATTCATTTAATAAGCCCAATACTGTTCCATTCTACTCTTCCCACTCTTCTCCCATCCCTAGCTCAATCACAGGAAGGCAAAAGAGTCCATAATTTGCCCCATCCTTTTGTGCCTATTAAGGAAAGTCCATTGGGAAGGAACAAGCTAGAGAAGAGAATGAATGGAAAACTTGTCCAAGGAGTTTTCAACTGTGGTTGAAAGTGGTTTCTGATCCTGGATCCAGTTCCCTTGCCTGGGCATTTCCTGGGGCTGTGGCTTTAATGGCCCAATGCCCATTAAATAATTTGGTCACTACTTGTTATAAAAAGACACATGGAGCCTGAAAGTAGCTACCATTTATTGAGCCCTTAATTATGCTACCAGTTTTGCCTAAATGCCTCATTGTCTCACTTGATCCCTTCACAATCTTCATAATGAAGTAGATATTATCATTAGTTGTTTTTGTTATTCTCCCTTTAACAATGGTGCACCTCAGGGAAGCCAAAACACAGAGAGTTTAAAATTACTTGCCCCTAGCTCCCAGTTGGTAGGTGGCAGAACCAGGAGCCATATCTGGCAATCTCCACTTCTAATGTTCTCAGTCTATAGAAGTTGGAAAGTTGCTAAAAAGGCAAAGGATTTAAAAAGGAAATCAAGCATGCCAAGGGCAAACTTTTCCTATTTCCTATTTCCTATTTTCCTCAAGTAGGAAAGACAAAATGGTTTGCTAAACATGTATGGCACTGCTTGTAGGCCATGTTCTGATCAATCAGAATATTATGATGTCTTTCTTGGTGAAGGTTTGCAGTTATTTTGCAATCTAACCTCTTAAAGTGGAGCCAGACCTTCTTCCTTGTGAATAATCCTAAACATAAGCAAAACAATGCTTCTTAAACAAGGTTATAAGGATTTCTTTCCTGAAACTTATCCCATTTTTAAGTTTATTTATTTTGGCTTTGAACACAATGGGCTGTAAAATATGTATGCGTTTTAACGTTGATCTTCATTTCTGAGAGACATTAAAGATTTTAAAGCTCCGTACATGAATTATCTTTCTATTTCTTCACAACCTTCCTTTGTTTTTACCTCCCCACTTTCAGGATGGATGATGGCCGACTCTTAGACTACCTTATGAATCATGATGAGTTGATGGAGGAAAAAGTAGCTTTCTACATCCGAGACATCATGGAAGCACTGCAGTACCTTCACAACTGCAGGGTTGCACATTTGGACATAAAGGTAATAAAAAATAGTAGCTTTTCAGTGAAGTGACTGAGTCCAACTCGGTCATTACCCTGAGGAATGCAAATTCATTTTATTGACTTAGATTAAAATCCATATGACTATTAAACAGAAATTAGGTTGCCACACAGCTGAAGCACATTGTTCATGAATAAATGACAGCACACCTTAAGTATAAGGACATCTGGGGTGAAAGAACATAGGAAAGCTTTAACCTATAACTTTATAGAGGAAGCCAATGAATGCCCCCTTCTTTTTCATGCTGCTTGAAAAGAAACTTCTGCTTTCCAAAAGGGCAGAAGCTCCTAAATTCAGAGCAGAAGCAAAGGTAGTTAAGAAGACATGACATGTGGGGTGGAGGAAGTAACTCAGTGGTAGAGCACCTGCTAACTACACTTAAGGCCCTGAGTTTGATTCCAGCAACAGAAAAAAAAAGAAGATGCATTTTCAATGCCAAACAACTCTGAAATATCACCCAAACTCAGAGTTTAGTGGGTTCAAACCACAGTTTGAAGCCTCCTATGCAGTTTACATAAGGAATTTCCCATGTGCTGTAGGCTCTATCAAAGAGTAGCAGAACCAAGTCTAGCTAACAGTCTTGCCAGTAGTCAAAACAGAGACCTGAATTTTCCTTTTCTTTTCCCGGCCTCCCTGGGTCCCTGCAGCCTGAAAACCTGCTCATCGATCTCCGCATTCCAGTTCCTCGAGTGAAGCTCATCGACTTGGAAGACGCTGTCCAGATCTCAGGCCACTTCCACATCCACCACCTGCTGGGGAACCCTGAGTTTGCTGCCCCAGAAGTGATCCAAGGCATCCCTGTCTCCCTGGGCACAGATATATGGAGCATTGGGGTTCTGACATATGTCATGCTCAGTGGGGTCTCCCCTTTCTTAGATGAGAGCAAGGAGGAGACATGTATCAATGTATGCAGGGTCGATTTCAGCTTCCCCCATGAATACTTCTGTGGTGTGAGCAATGCCGCCAGGGATTTCATCAATGTTATCTTACAGGAAGACTTTCGGAGACGGCCCACAGCAGCCACTTGCCTGCAGCATCCATGGCTGCAGCCCCACAATGGCAGCTACTCCAAGATCCCCCTGGACACCTCCCGCTTGGCGTGCTTCATAGAACGCCGCAAACACCAGAATGATGTGCGGCCCATTCCCAATGTCAAGAGTTACATTGTCAACCGTGTGAACCAAGGGACATAGCCATCTCCCAGCCCTTGAGGTTTCACATAGAAGTGCAGTGTGAACCAAAGCAAGACTGAATGTGTCTGTAAATAACTATGTTCGTTCTTTCCCTCCATGTGGTTCTCTGGATTGAGAGGTGTCCTCTTAAACCTTGTCAGTGATTATTCAGGGTCTGAGCAGAGGTAAAAGTCACCCTAAAGCCAGGGGCTTTCCAGAAGGTCATTCTGAAGAAACAGATACAAAGTCACAGAAAGTATTAAAAGAAAGGGCAAGGATAACAAGAATATTAGCTGTAACAAATTTTTAATTATACATTCCAAAATGAGTAGTTAAGTGGGCAGACATACTGTACTATGGGGAGCAAAAAACGTTTCTTCTTTGCTAAAAGTTTAAGCAAAAAGTTCTATTTAACAGAGATGTCAACTATTCTGGTTTAGAAGACGTAGATATAGTTTCTTAATAGGATACATATACACATACAGTATAATAGAGCCCATTCAGGTTTCAGAGTTTTATAATAGAGTTATATATGAAATCAATCCTAAGTAACTTTGAGTGCTCCAGTTAAGACAATAATTTATTTACCGAAGCATTACATTGTTTTGACTAAGCACAATTAGATGACGAGTTTTATAGCATTTTATAAATCTTGTATAGAAATCTTTTACCAGAACCTGTGCATTAAGAGAAAGCAATGTTACCCTTTGCGATCTGTGAAAAAGATTTTTTTTTTATTTTTGGTTTTTCTCTTTGTCATGAGTTATTTAAGATAGGCTCTGTATATGAGACGCTGCTCCCTCTCTGGCAGTTCAGATTTCATCTGGCAGGAAATCCTGCCAGGAATTAAGTCCAAACCTAGTGAGAGTTGTGTGGTTATTTTTATGTCTACACCTCACTTGAAATAGGTAAACAAATATCACTGATTCATCAAAAGGGCAAATAGAAATCTTTGCTACAGTTCCTACGAACAATGTATCCACACTTTCTGATGTCTTCTACACTGTCAGAAAGTTGACTTGCTTTATTTCTAACCCCTTATCAAGTGAAGGGGTGCTTACCAAAAGGAGGCAGCCATATAAGCCTTTTAAAAGCCTGGTCCTAAGTCCTTTTTGAAGCCATGGAGCAAAAGCCTGAACCATCACCCTATCAGAGCATTGAATTTTAGCTGAGCTCGCAATACGTATCACTCACTACTCAGCCGCCGCTACTTCTTTGGACTAAAAGGACTAACTGTGTTTGGAGGCCAATGCTGCTTTCTGGTGTATGTTCTATATACAAGATTATTTTTAACTGCCCTTTTCCCTCTGATGGAAGAGATTAAACCTGGGCTTTTCATGATTTTTTTCTTTTATTTTAATTTGGGGGAAGGTGGGAAGGGGGGAGAAGAGGAGCATTCTTGGGTTTTTTTTTCCGTGTTTGTACATGATCCATCCTTCGTTCTCTAGAATGTGTTTTGTAAATTGCTTTTATGCAAATAACATTGTGAAAAATGTAAGTCAAATGTTATTCAAATCAGGTTTAACAGCATTGCTTCTCTCCTATTAATAGGATTGAACAAATTAAAATCATGCAGCACAGAAGTGCAAGCAGAGAATTTATGAAGGATAAATAGAACTACAAACCTAACAAAGGAAAAAAGAAATGGTGGAAACTAAGCCTGAACTTCAACATATAAAAACACATATTCCCTCAGTAGAAAGTAGAATTTAAAATACTCATCATTCTTTTCCATGGGTTTCAAAGTCAGATTTTTTACCCATCCTCCATCTTATCCTGTCCAAGATTATAGATTAATAAATTAGTAAAAAGTACAAGCAATAAGACTAGATAGCACTTAGTATTTTCAGGATTAACCAAATATATGGAAGCTGACCCCAACTGTTTGGTTTCTAGTTTTCAAATGGCCCTGAGTTATCAGGCCTCATTCCTCAGAGCTCTCTAATCCCCTACAGCCCTCACTTAAAACATGATGTAGATACAAATAGAATACTGTATGATTTCATCTTTTAAAATTTAAAATGACTTTTAGTAAACATGTCATCACGATGGCTTATAGCATAATCTATAGGGTTTGTCGTGGGATAGACTTCACCTCTGAGGTTTCCAAATATCCATAATGTGTGGCTTGCCTAATTCTGTTTAGTCCACTGTGGCTGACGTGAATAAACAGCTTCCTTTTAAGTCACTTAGAATTGTTATGTCAGGCTGAGTTTCTGCTGGAGTGGGACAGTGGTGCTCAGACATGGCAGGAGGGCCATATGTAAAATCACGTTGTGGGGTAGGCTGGTGACAGAGTGTTATATGGAGCCAAAGCTTTCACATCAGCTTTTACATCAGAGTTGGTATAATTCAGATGTGAGGCTGCATGGAATCCCCCAAAGTATACATGTTGGGAAAACAAGAAAGGAGGGACATAGAAAGGAGAACTAGTGTGATGTTATTAACTAGAGCCAAAGTACAATTGTCATTATAGAATAAAATTAAAAGAGCCCCTGAAAGAAAGGGGGTATATTTTATATAGTTTGATAAATGAAGAAAATAAATAGGGAGGCTCTTTATTTGCAAAGTTCCTGGTCCCTCCCAACGGGGACAAGATAATGGTCTTCATTCAAGAATTATCCATAGCAACCTGTCAAAAAGAAATCCCAGTGGATGGGGCTGGGAACTGTAGTTTAGGTTGCTGTGTGGGCAACTGTAGTAAGGGAAGAAGGATCAGGGACTCGGTGCTCTCTTGTACCTGTTATTACTTGGCAGCAGAGAAGAAGGGAGAGCAGAGAAAACAGTCCACTTCTACCCACATTATGGTAGATCTTCGTGGAAACGAACTTCCCTCTGAAATGCGAAAAACAAATGCTGGTCAAAGTCACAGGTTTCTTGTACCATTGCATTGGGTTTAGGGTTTTTGTTTTGTGTGGTAAGGGTGGGATGCAGAAAGAAGGAAAAGGTCAGGGACAACCCATGATCACAAGTAAGAACTATAATAATTTCCTTCATCCTTTACATTTTTTCAGATTAAATAAATTTATATCCACTTACAGCTGAATGTGGTAAAAAAATTTTAAGAAAAAAAATTGTAGTGTTGGCGGTGTCCTTCAGGTCTCTCCCAGCCATAAACAACCTAAGGGGGAGTGGAGAAGGCAGAGGAGAAAGCTGACTTCACTGCTTTGTGTGTCACAAAGCCTTTACTAAATAGTAGTGCCTTTCAGAGGGGAGGATGGGAGAGGAAGTCCATTGCATTTAGATGTACTGATACTGCAGTATTTTTTCTTAATTTTAAAGTATCTTTTAAATGAAAACATCTGAATATAGGATAGGACCAGGAATTCTTGAGTTTCAATCTCAGCTATTCCAGATTCATCCTTTCTTACAGAAAGTCTTTTGTTTTTTTCAGCCTCAAATGTCCCCATTGGTAAAATGGGAGTTTGGGGGGTGAAGGAGAGAGGATATTAATCTCAAAGCAATGTTGAGAAAATACCATAGTTGGGACATCTATAAAATATTTTGATTTTCTTAAAGTGCTACACACTGCCAGTGCTAGGAATTTTATTGATAGTAACTTTGAACATTCCAGGTTTTCAATATTCATAACTTTAGATACCATTCACAAACTCATGAAGTTAAACCCTGTAAGTTGCTTTTAATTGGAAGTACGAGGTGCTCTTGTCTAAATGTTACTTAGTCTTACCCTATAATTTTAATCATTTAAGAGCTTGTCTAAAGAAAAGGCTAGAAGAACTGATGAAGTCTTAAACATCCATGAACTATTTCCCCCAGTATTTCTCATGGCAGACATGAAGAGTAAGATGCCTTCTAAAGCAACTATTACTGTCACTTCTCAAAATTATGCTCTGGAAAATGGACAAAGAAGAACCCAAATAGCCTCTTTCTTTACTGGGGGAGGGGGAGCAGAAGGGAGAATCCAATTCACTTTTTAGAATCTCACAAGAACCTTTTAGAAGAGGTGAGTTAAATGCATAGATGTAGAAATGAATTAGACTGCTGATTTGGGGAGGGAACACTTTGGATCTATTTTTGGATGGTTAGGTCTTTCAAGAGTAGCCTAACTTTTGTTCCCTGCCTCCATGATTTTGTGCCTATGAATTAGGCATTGCTTTTCTCTTGCCTATGTGGAATAGCATGGGAATTAAGAGTTGTGAGAATATAAGGGAGCAAATGTAGCATAAATGAAATGATAGGTATTTCTGTGCATTAACTAAAATTTTGTCCCATGCATTTGATAGAAAAAGAAATATTTTTCCCTTTTTATTTTATTTATTTATTATTATTCATTTATTCACATGTGCGCACATTGTTTGGGTCATTTCTCCCCCCGTCCCCCTTCCCCACCCTCTTCTCCCTCCCCTGAGAAAGAAATATTTTGATCATGGTCTCTGTAGTAGGGCAAAAGTGCAAACACATCACATCCTTACTCAGAATAGCAGAGAAATTCTACTGAATGATTTTGAGGAATGTAGATTCTATTCCTTTCTCTCCTGGATAGCATCCATGTGGAGTGTAGGTTAGACAATAGATGAGCTTTCAGTGGATCTATTTATAAAACTGCTTCTTGATTTTTCTTTGCTATTTAAAATCTAGGGATCTTTTGGGAATTAACAGACCTGGGGTAGCTAAGGGAAGAGCTCATACATGCTAAAACAAGAAAAAAAGGAGCTACCCTGTTAATATTTATTTCTGAAATTAAACGCTCTCAGTTGTCTCATTAATTCTTGAGGGTTCAAAAGGGCTAAGTTTGTCCATAGCACTAGATGCTTTTAATAGGAAATGTTATTCACATGAAAAATCTATAAAGAAATAGTAGAATACAGAAATATCATAGAACCATATTTTTTATGAAAGGTATTCTTCCTCATTTTCAATACATATTAAAGTTAGAGGAGAATGAAAAATAATTACTCTTAGATGAAAGTCCATCTTTAAGGGACATTTATTGAAGGCTTGAAATTATACTCATAGGCTATTGTGTTTTTCTACCAGCCTGTTTTCTGAGAAATTCTAAAAATCAGTCAGATTGAATTTTTATTCAAATGATCAAAATACTGGTTTAAGTAGATGACTTATTTCTGTGAGGTTAACTGAGAAAAAGAAGAGTGGTGGGGAAAGTGCAAGTGAAAGTTCTTGGAATGCCAACTCCTGAGGTTTAATTTAACCAAGTGAATTTGCTAGCCCAGGAATAGCCAGCATAGGTGTTCATCAAAAAGAAGTCCACCTTCCAGAGTATATGGAGACTGTTACTGTGACCTCAAAGACTGTGGCTATGAATCTGAAGTTAATAAAACATACATCTTCTCTTAATAACTTAAGCCATATCTATCAGCGCTGTTTAAATTTTTTGACCCTGGTGCTTTTTACTTCTGTTTCTGCCAAACTTCAGTCTACTCTATGGGGAAGGTGAGTAAAACTAGTGGTAAGACAAATACAAAGACTGAAAAACTAAACATACTCTTGAGAATGCCATCTCTTCAGAGAACAATAGTGATCGAAGTGCAAACTGTTGGAAAATATAGATATGTACATCTGTACATGTATATAGTGTATATTATGTATGTATACATTATTGCTCATATGCAGAAATCTATCCATTTGCAGACAGCCCAGGTGGGTCAATTTTTCTATTGGAAAACCATTTAGGGCCATTCAAAGCCATTAGGGATAATATGTGGAGACAAATTCTATTCAGACAGGAATTTTCTGTCTTTTGATGTCCACGAAGGCAAACTAACAGTGTGAAACACAACAGGACCATTGTTTGCACTATTCTGTTTACCTGAATTAAGATATATCTCTATATTTGAATTTATTAACAGCTGGTTTGCAAACTGCATCAGCACCTCTTGGTTTTGAGTGACTCCTTCCCCCCAAATCTTTTAAGAATTTGTGGTGGGTTTCTCTGGCCATTCAAATAAAGGGTCTTATCCAACAGTGGACAGGTTTCCCCATAGGGACCACTACACATATACATATAAGTACATACTTCCATCAGGCTTGTAACAATTACTTAAAATCACTCCACAGTATTGATAAATAGCTCTATATTTTCAAGGTGCAGAAGAATTCCACAGCCTTAATTATTTCAGTGTCTTGCTGGTCTGCCTTAAGTGTAACTTCTGGGTTTTTGGTTATTTTATTATTTAAAATTTTCTGCAGTTGTTCATTTTGTATGCACATAATGTCGTTTTGTAAAGGTAGGTTGTAAATATTTTATTTGTAAGTCAAAATCACTCATGCGTAATGTTGTAAAGTGATGACCTGCTGTCTTGTTATTATTACTGCAGTAAATGTTATAAGTTATGAATGAACCTTCAAAATGTACATCTCACATGTTATGCATTCCTATAAATATACTGTACTAAAGATACTATTTCTGGTCGTCTTTTTTTCTAATTAAAACCTTAGTTTAAAAAAGTGTAATTTTCTCTCTTTCCCCAAATTGCCTTTGACAAGCTAATAAAACCACATTATTATCACACTTTTTTGTCCAGCATTTTAGAAATAAAATTTTTGTTCCTTTGAGAAATACTCTCATTTTGCTGTCTAAAAGTGCTAAGGAAGCCTCAGGTGTGATTGTGTATTCCATGTGGTAATATTAGAGAACCACCAAGCTATTTGGTCTGGATCTGACAAGTTTATACATCCTGGTATGGACTACAATAATCTGGGGTAGCCTGTGCAGACAATCAGCTTTGAAAGTTTACATGTGTGGCCCAAGTGCAACTAAGGCTTGATCCACAGTGAGCTGTCACTTAGCAACACTTAGAAATCAAAATGTTTTGATTACCTTACTTTGCTAGTAAGAGCAAAAATGTTTTAACATTTGGCTTCTATTTCATCAAGATTTTACTGTATTTATTTGTAGTGAGAAACAACTATGAAAAGTATAGGCTTTTCACATTGACTGTTCAACATAATCTCCAGAGAAAACATAAAGAATGCAGAAATAAATGAATTCAGAATCAACTTGGTAAATTAAGATCATGGGATCCGTGGTTTTAAGGGTTATTTTCCTTAAAATGGGCTAATGTATTGCCTTCTACACCTAATGGAGAAGTTCTCTGCTTTAGTGGATGAACCACAGAACATAGCTCATGCTAAGCAAGCACTTTACCACTAAATTACATCCCCAGCCCTTCTAAAATTCTATTTTGAGACAGGGCTTGCTAAATTGCCCACGCCAGCCTCAACCTTGCTACCTTCCTGCCTCCATCTAGGAAGTAGCTGGGATTATAGACATACAATGCCACACCTGACTGTAACAGGGGCTTAAAAGCTGCTTTTGCCCAGGAATTAACTAAAGGCAGAAAACAGTTAGGTGATTGCAATGCCTCTTTTCCATAGACAAGGAAGGAATAAATTGACCATGGGGAAAATTTAACAGGGACCACAAAAGGAAAAAAAAAAAACCTGTTTGTATAGGCAGCTTGCCTGATGGCCAGTTTACTACGTTTGTTGATTAAATTGACTTTCTTTCCCTCTGTCTAATTGCTAGAGAATCCAGTAATGAAGATTAACTCCCTTTGCTGTCCAATTAGGCCAACAAGCTCTCTACCTCTTATCTCTCTCTAACCACCTGAGCAGTAAACCTGCCAGCCAAGACATACAGCTTCAGAGAAGTGATGCAGGCCATCTGGAGAACCAAAGCCAGCAGCCATGGGGAAAATGCATCTGGTCACCTTATCAAGCTGAGCCCCTAAACTCTCATTTAAAAGACATTTTCTCTCAGAAGTGGGACAACAGATTTTTGAGAGGTTGACTCTGCCCTTCTCTTCCTCTGGTGATAAACCTTATTTCCTTTTCCTCAAACCCCTGCTCTGGTTATTTGTAAGTTGTGAATTGGCATTGAGGCGAGGAGACTTGTTTTCTGGTAACATGACTAAGGGATTTATTTGAAAGCTTGGATTTTCAGATTGGCTAGCAACATCATCCTCTGGGATAGCCCTGACACCCATCAATCCATCTTCCCTCAGTCCTCCTCCTTGCCCTTCCTCATCTCCACATGTGCCAGCACTTAAGATTCTCTCAGGGTAATACACACATCTCCTCTTCTAGCACAGAATGCCGCAGAACAGAAAATGCACAATTATCTGTTGAGGGCTTCCTATTTCTATTGCTAGTGAACTCTCATGTACCACATGCTGTGAAGTTAATAAAAGATGTAATGGTCCCTGTCCTCGAAGAACTCCATCTGAAGAAACACTGTAGGGAAGAAGTGGCTAGGACTAGTCAAGAAGACGTTGAGCTGTAAAAAAAACAAGCAAGGCTCTCTTGAGAGAGGCTGTAGTCGAGCTAACTGTTCTGGGCTTTAAACCCCAGAAGCCCCATCATAGGAAACCAGCAAAACCCTAGGCTCGCACCGCTGGTCCCCATGCAATCCTGGCCGGAAGGGGCGGCGGAAGGGGCGGGACCTCTCGAATGACGTCACGGGGGCGTCCGAGGCTGCGCATGCTTTGGCCTGTGGAGCGCAGTAATAGCTTCGCAGGATGGCGGCAGCGGCGTCGGCGGCGGGCGCAGCGCTGGGACAGCTGGTCGCGTCCCTGTACGACGTCCAGGCCTTCAAGTTTGGGAACTTCGTGCTGAAGAGTGGGCTCTCCTCCCCGGTCTACATCGACCTGCGGGGCATCGTGTCTCGACCGCGGCTTCTCAGCCAGGTACCAGCCCGAGGGGAAGGGCGACTCTGGGTGGCGGGAAAGAGGACCAGGAGATGGAACGGGGTGACAAGGCTGGGCTGTGGGTGGCCGCAGAAGAGCCATGCGGTTGAGTCGGCTTGAGAAGCACAGAGGCCAGGGGTCCTTGCGCTCTTTGGGACCTTGCACAGTTGCCTGGCCTTGACCGGCTGACTTGGATACGTGCTTTGCTGGAGTTGGGAAGAACCCTTCTTGGGCTCAGCCCAACCCAGAAGCCCTTGAATGAGTTCCGTGTTTAGCGTCTGGAAAGTTAGACTGACTTGGGGAAGAAAGGAAAAGGTGGTTGGGCAAAGAATTTAGGAACTGGTCAAATATTTGGGAAATTTGCTGTTTAGAAAGGGGTGTGTGTGTGTGCGTGTGTGTGTGTGTGTGTGTGCGTGTGCGCGTGTGTGCGTGTACGCGTGTGTGCGTGTGTGCGTGTGTGCGTGCGCGTGTGTGTGTGCCCGTGTGTGCGCGTGCGCGTGCGTGTACGCGCCAGGAGCAAGAATTAAGGGGAGGTGGGTTTTGGGTCTGTGGATAAGGGGAAACTGCGCACGTGAGAGGTTTCTAGCACATTGCATCTCAAAGCTGGAGTATGTAGGAATCATCTGGGCATTTCCTTACAGTGCCGAATGCATTTCTAACAAGTTGCCAGCAGAAACTGAAGATCACACTTTGAGAAGAAAAGTGAGTGTGCGGTCCAAGACTAGTCTACTAGCGCCGTGAATATTGAGCATCATGAGTTTTTAAATACAGGTAGTCATACGTGCCTACTGGCTACCATGTAGGACAATATAAATATAAAACATTTCACAAAAACTTCTATCAAGACATATGTAGCCAGGCGTGGTGAGGCACAACTGTAATCCCAGTACTCAGGGAGGCTGACGCAGGAAGATCATGAGTGCAAGGCCAGCCTCTCCATATGCAGACCCAGTCCCAAAGACGTGTAAGTTCTGTAAGTTCCCAGCACACCCTTAGGGTTTATGTTCGTTGAACACATATTTGTGTGGTTATTGTAAAAATGATGAACCACTGGTTGAGAGGCCTCAGAATCCTGCTGTGGTCTATGTCATCAGTATAGAGAAAATGAACAACTAAGGATTTTCTAATGAAAAATTGATTTAAGAAGTGATCAGTTGATTGATAGAAGACTAAAAAAAATTTTTTTTTTTATTTTAGGTCATGGTGTGTATGTGAATCTTTTGGCAGTTAATTGGGGAGGAGAAAGACCTGGCTATAACAAAACTTTTCACATCTGTTGATTTTTTTTAATGCAAATACAGGTTCTCAGTATTTACATCCTCCCTAAAGCAATAGAGTTTATGCTAACCTTTAACTTGCTAGTAACAAGTACTATTTGACTACAATTTTATGTGTACATAAACTGGAAGGGGGAAATACTACTTATATCACAGAAAAAATGCATTTCCAAAATAATGTTTTTATGCTTCCATCAAAATTTCCAAATTATGTTTTGATTATATGCTCACAATGACTATGGAGAATACCTTCTAACACTTGGAGACTTGTCATGGAAATTTTTTTTTATTTTGCAATTTTAAATTTAAGTTAACATACATTTCAATTTGCACATGCATAGAGAATTATAATGGAATCAGTAAAAGCTTTTCAAGCAGAAATATATATTGCATTGGAGTAAAATTCTGTGAACACAGTAGAGTGAAAATGTGACTTTGAAAAAAACATAAAAATTGTCTAACTTTCGTAATCTAGCTCTGTATGTGTGTTTGCATGTGTCCACGTGTGTGTGTTTTGCTGGGACTTGAACCAGTACCTGAGCACACTAGGCAAGCATTCTACCACTAAGCTACACCCCTAACCCCTACTTACTTTTTCTTTTTAATGGAATTAGTAGATAGGAAATCACTAACAGCAGTTAGATTCCAAATGTACTCATTTAAAAAACAGTGATGTAACATTTCTAGGATATATTAGTATTTTTAACACTAGAAATTAAAGACCTAATTTATGAAGCAACTGAATAATTGATTTTTAAAAAACAGTAAGTTAGTGTTGGGCAATCATATGCATTCTGACATCAAATATGGTGATTTATATGGGGAACATTATAAAACATTTCACACAGTAGGCATTATTTATGAAAATTCTTAATTGAAGACTTTCTTCAGAAACTATAAATAGCAAGTGATAGCTTTACATACTCAAAGCATTACAGATTACTAAGGGGAACTGGGAAGTCTGGGGACCATTCTTAGTCTTTGGGGTCAACATTATTACCTTCCCCAGGACATCTCATTTCACTAAGAGTCCATCCTGAGTTTAGCTGAGTAGGTTCATTCATGCATTTACGTTTATTTATATACAGGATTTAATTGTAGTAATGGGTCTAGATAGTTCTGAATATTTTCCTAAGTTTATATTTTCAAAAAGCCAATTTTGGGGGAAATCTTGACTGATCCATTTGTATCCATACGGGTTATATATATATAATATAAATATATATTATATAAATATATATATATATGTATTTGTTTGTTTGTTTGTTTATACTGAGATTTAATAAAGACATTTGTTTCTATTCTCCCCCATTAGGTTTGAGATTAATCTCTCCTAAGGTTATTTTCATCTTTAATGTTCTGTTGTTACATGATATATACACTATTTAAAATAATGATAATAGGAAGTGTGTGTGTTTTCTTACAGGTTGCAGATATTTTATTTCAAACTGCTCAAAATGCAGGAATCAATTTTGACACTGTGTGTGGGGTACCTTACACAGCTTTGCCGCTGGCTACCGTTATCTGTTCAACCAATGAAATTCCAATGCTCATTAGAAGGAAAGAAACAAAAGATTACGGTAAAATAAAAGTAGCATAAGCCTTAAGTCAGTTTGTAACCTGTGGGAATTTTTTCTTCCTTGTGTACTGATGTTTTCTTAGATTCATTTGAATATTCTTTCTAAATCCTATAAGTTATCACCTGTGGGATTTGTTAACTGTTGATATAAATCACCTTACTTTTCTTTAGAGTCTAAAATGCTTCATGTTGATTAGGCATTGCAAACCCCAACATGTATATTGGCTCTTCCCTCATCAGCAGAATGTGCTAAGAGCATGTACCTGTCCAGTATATTTATATTTAAACCACATGGAGAGTCATGCGTGAATAAGTTTACTCTCATAAAGCTATATAAACACCTCACGAAATTTATTTATTTTATTTTTTGGCAGTACTGGGATTTGAACTCAGGGCTTTGCACTTGTTAGGCAAGTGCTCTGCCACTTGAACCACACCTCCAGTCCTCTCATGGAAATATTTTTTATGTGTGGATATATGGCAATAGGTTATCAGGGTTTGCTTTAAAACCTGGAAATCAATCTAAAAATACTGGGCTGGCAGAGTGGCTCAAGTGGTAGAGTGCCTGCTTAACAAGTATGAGGCCCTGAGTTTAAACCCCTATCACCCAAAAAAAAAAAGTTTTATATACATATATATGGATGGACTTCATATTTAATATTAAAGAATTAGATGTTTTTGTTCTATGTTGGTATGATAATGCTTTATTTTTTAAGAGACCTTTTATAGATACATTCTAAAAATGTATGATAAATCATGCAGTGGGATTTGCTTCTAAAAATTGGGGGAAAGAGTGAAGATATGAAATTGGATTAACCATGAGTTGTTAAGTGGTGAAGTTCTTTCTATATTTGTGGGTAAAAAAAAAAATTCATTACAGTATTTTGTATGTCTTTGTTTGAAATCATTGCTATAAAAAAAATAAGATAGCTGGGTGTGGTAGCTCATGCCTGTACTCCTAGCTACTCAGGAAGCAGAGATGGGGAGGATTGCAATTCAAGGCCAGTAGGGCAAGAAGTTTGAGAGACCCTATCTCAATAATAAAACTGGGCACAGTGGTGCACACCTGTCATTTCAGCTATGCGGGAATCATAAATAGGATCTCATTCCAGGCTTGCCTGGGTATAGCGATGGAGACCCTACTGGAAAAAATACCTACAGCAAAAAGGGCTGAGAGTGTGGCTCAAGTAATAGAGCACCTGCCTGGCAACACAAGGCTTTGAGTTCAAAAACCCAGTACCAAAAAAAAGAAATATTTAGTTGCATTTTTGCTGCATCAAGGCACAATGTTAGTTTTTTGAGCAAAAAATAAAATGAATCCCTATCCATAAGGAATGTGTCATTTCTATTTCCTTGTATATCTTTAAAAAATGCATCTAGTATGAAATTTATTTATTAACATACCTATAAGTCCTCTCAGTCTTATGTATTAGTCTAAGCAGGTTTGGTTATATTTGCCAATTCTTCAGGAGAGGAAAGGAGTTAAGAGAAAAGAAATATGAAAGGTCAAAGATGGTATCTGTGGTAAAACTTAAAAAGTTAGTAAAATGCCCACCTGTTCTGTTTATTTCAAAATAAGATAAATTAGTAGTGGAAAATACAAAAATGAGTCTCAATAATTGAATCTGTACATCTACAGTGAATTATTTAAATTTTATAGATTATCTGAACATAGTCTATTTAGTCACATTCATAAGGTTGTGGTAATGGATCTAAAGTGTTACAAAATACTTCTCTTCTGAATTTATATTTTCAAAAAGCACATTGTTCAGCTGGTCTTGATTGATGAACTTGTAATAGATTGTTGATAGACAAAGGAATGATTTCATTGATGATACTGGATTATTCTGTTTCATAATTGCCTAATTTAGATTAACTTGCTTTAAGAAATCCCATAGTTAAGCATAAAGCACCTTAAATAGTGTTTTATTTACATTGAAGAATAATTTGCTGTAAATATTCTGTATATAATTGGCAGTTTGGGGATACAGAAACACTGAACAAAACAGTCGTCACAGCACAGTGAATAGTGATCAGATATAAAGTAGCTCCAAAGTATAGATGATCAGGAAATGTAAGACTTAGAACATCTGAATTCTTCACAAATACATAACCAAATTTATACTGCAAGATACATTTGTGAAATAAATTGGAATCATCAGAATTTTTTCTTTTCTAGGTACTAAGCGTCTTATAGAAGGAGCTATTAATCCGGGAGAAACCTGTCTGATTATTGAAGATGTTGTTACCAGTGGATCTAGTGTTTTAGAAACTGTTGAAGTTCTTCAGAAGGAGGGCCTGAAGGTCACTGATGCCATAGTGCTGTTGGACCGAGAGCAGGGAGGCAAGGACAAGTTAGAGGCACACGGAATCCGTCTCCACTCAGTGTGTACATTGTCCGAAATGCTGGAGATTCTTGAGCAGCAGAAAAAAATTGATGCTGAGATGGTTGGGAGAGTGAAGAGATTCATTCGGGAGAATGTTTTCATAGCAGCTAATCAGAACGGTTCTCTCCCTTGTGTAAAGGAAGCACCCAAAGAACTCAGCTTTGGTGCACGTGCAGAGCTGCCCAGGATCCACCCAGTTGCATCGAAGCTTCTCAGGCTTATGCAAAAGAAGGAGACCAATCTGTGCCTGTCTGCTGATGTTTCAGAGGCCAGAGAGCTACTGCGGCTAGCAGATGCCTTAGGTCCCAGCATCTGTGTGCTCAAGACCCATGCAGATACTTTGAATGACTTTACTCTGGATGTGATGAAGGAGTTGACAGCTCTGGCAAAATGCCATGAATTCTTAATATTTGAAGACCGGAAATTTGCAGATATAGGAAACACAGTAAAGAAACAGTATGAAGGTAAGGGTATTATTCAGAAATCACCAAGAATCAGAGATCTAGCCTAAACTGGCTAAGACAAAAAAAGGTGATGTATTGGCTCATGTAACTGAAAGTACAGCCATAGAGCAAACTGTCAAGTGTGGATAGGATCCAGGAACTCAAATGATGTCTTTTGAAATTACTTTCTGTTTCTCAACTCTGCTTTCTTCTCTGTTTGAGGGAGGCAAACACCACGTGCCCACACAAATCATTCACTCTGATCTAGGGTGTAAAATCCCTACATTAGCTGGCCTGAGGAGTGTACGTGTTCCTGCAAATGTGAAGCAGGGAGCTCTATTTAAACATCTTGTACTGAGAGCCCTGCAGGGTTGCTTCCCCTAAAGAATATGGATGTGCTGATACACAAAGAAAGGTGCACAGGTTCTGGCAGGCAAAATGACAGATGTTGGCTCTGGCAGAAAATTGCAGATACAAGAAACAATGAAAAAGCAGGATACAATGATAAGATTTATTTTCAGCAGAAAATGATCATTTGATACACATCCTTTTTAATTTCAAAGTTGTTTTCTAATGCCAAATAACTCAAAAGTAGTGCATATGTTGGATGGAAAAAATGATTAGTTTTATTATGCATTCTCCAATGTGAATGTGTGATGTTTTTATAAAGATGTGATCACACTGTATTTATCTAATTCATGTCACCTTATAACAATATTTACCCATATATATTGTAGTCATTTTGAGGTAACTTAATTTTTCTTAAAGTAATGCATGTATAATCTCAAACTCTTTCAAATAGAATTGTCTGTGACTGTCTGTGCTGAGGAGATCCCATCATCTCATTGCTCAGCTTAGTTGAGCTTACTGACTGCTGTAAGAGTTGTATAATGTTTAGATTTGCATGTGTACAGTTCCCTGTTTGACTTTAACTCTCTAAGGAGAGCTAAGGAATATGTAGAAACACTCGGAGATAGTAAAGTTGCTGAGAGATCTCTGCAGGGTGACTATTTGTCATCTTTAGGAGGAGTTTCAGGATATCACTGTTCTTGACTTTAGAAAATTCCTTTTTTCACTGGGTCCATTGCTAATTGTATGAGCTTTATCAGTGATCCTAAGCTTCAGCCTGCAAAATAAATAAGTCCGGCCTAACAATACTCCTGATGAACTAAGTACAGAACTCAGCAAGAATTTTTTCTCACTGATCTCTCACCTAGCTACCAGGTGAAAATACACATTTTTCAAGATGAAACCATGATAATTACTAAAGTTCTTGATGTGTTTGACTCTAACATGTTACTAGGAGATAATTTCCTATTGTAGTTGATTACGCAAAAGATAGTTTTATATGAAAACTGGCAAATACCATTTTTTCCCCTTTCTTAGGTGGTATCTTTAAAATAGCCTCCTGGGCAGATCTAGTAAATGCCCACGTGGTGCCAGGCTCAGGAGTTGTGAAAGGCCTGCAGGAAGTGGGCCTGCCTTTGCATCGGGGATGCCTGCTTATTGCGGAAATGAGCTCTGCCGGCTCCCTGGCCACTGGGAACTACACTAAAGCAGCGGTGAGTGACAGAGGACTGAGTGAGAGAAGGCCAGAGCTATGCTACATGTTCTATGTAACCTCTGTCTCATCCCCCCACAGAATAGCTGTTTTTAGTGTGACAGTATATTAACAGCAGTTGGGTTAGAGTTCCTTGATACTTCCTAGCATTTTGTATCTTGTAATAGAGCTTAAGGAATTTAAATTGTACTCTGAGAGATACATCAAGGCACAGATCTTCTAACTGCCTTTATCATAATTACCTTTTTGTTCTTGCCATGAATTGAAAGTGAAGATGAAAAGAACTTCCCAGATGTGCTGTTTTTGAGTCTCTTGAGTCCCACAGGGTTACACGTTCTTGTGACAGTAGCCCCCATGAAGTGGCTGTGTCTTTGATAGTGATTTGTATTAGGTGGGAAAAGCCAAGGAATCCAGCTGTGCTTTTTCCCCTCCAGTATTAAAAGTTCTAATACCATACATGTCAGTACTGACTGCCACCCTATCTTGACCCATACACACCAAAGTTGAATAAGAGATGGATGGTTATCTAGCTAAAAAGTTCCTCTTCACATTTTCCTCAGGTAAATTTTGTAGTTGAATCATTAGTCACCCAGAAAGGTAGATACATCACCTTTGCAGTTATTTTAAGGAGTATCACTTTAAAAAATTACCTTGAAATTTTATTTTCCATTACATTTCAAAGACTGTACATGGGGCTGTTAAGAACTTAGATGGCCCTATAAGGTTAATTTTTTAACACTCTCCCTAAGTGGACCGTAAATGTCTGATTTCCCAAGTATTGCAAGGAGAGGGCCAGGAAGTCACTTAAAATATTAGTATTCTCAAGTATAGGTCTGGCTCAAGGACAAGTTGTCACTTGTTTGTTGGTGGAAGTACTTGGTGGCAAGATTGGAACAGTGTATCAAGGAAGAGCCAAATCAGAAAGCCAGGCAGACCTGCCGTGTATATGAGGCAATACTGTAAAAATAGGGAGACTAGTTTAGAGCAGATGCTAAAGAATAGGGAAAGTGGCAGAGGGGAAAGGTTTCTTTAGCTCTTGAAAATGTAGCTGTTTCTTTATATGACAGTATGCACTTCAAGATCTTTTGAGAGCAGATCAGTCATTGAGCATAATTACAAAGAATTATGCAGCATCTTGATTTTAGATGCACAAGTATAGGGTTTTTGGTGTGTTCAGGTATAGTTAATTGGGGGAAGGGGTAATCATAGGATCTTAATGAAGCAAATATGTTTTATTTTTATAAAAATATTTTTATTTTTATGTTTTAGATATGATAGGTCATCATATCTAAGATGACCTATTTCAGATAGAATGAGTTTATGTGTATGAAGTGAGAAAAGGCATCTATAATACAGCAAGTTTCTGACTAGTTAGAAACTAGATTTTTTACTTTTATAGAACTGCTATTCTGAGTGATTGATTAACTGTTTTCTTGTAATATGGCCTGTAATATTCTATGTAGGTTGGAATGGCTGAGGAGCATTGTGAATTTGTGATTGGCTTTATTTCTGGCTCCCGAGTAAGCATGAAACCAGAATTTCTTCACTTTACCCCAGGAGTTCAATTACAAGCAGGAGGTAAGCCTATTCACTGGCCATTAGTCTTTCAAAAATGCTTCTGTACCTGTGTCTTAAAAAATAACAAGCATTCTTTTTCTAGACCCATGATGAATGAGCCCTTTGTCTGGTGATACTGTCCTATACTTGCAAAAACAGCTTGTAGTCTAATTTTAGGATAAAAATTTAGAAAGCTACTGTTGAAATATGCCCACAGAACTGATAATTTTAGGCTAGTATTTTCCAACTGGTGTTCTGGATTTGCCGCCAAAAGAAGGTATTCTGTGCTCTAGGAAATTTGGAAAGCCCTCAGGTAAGCAAAATCAAACACTTCTTTGTTAGAGGACTTTGCAGAGCCTTAGATGTGCCAGTGTCTATTGTGACTCTCCAGCGTGGCATGCTTTGGTTCTGTCATGTTTCCTGAACTTATTTGAACACGGAATACTTTCAGCAGTCTGAGAAATGCAATTGTAGTGGCTAAAAAGCAGTGCTAGTCTTCTCATTGTTAGATTTCTATTCAATAAAGGAGTAATCTAGGATATAAAAAATTTGAAGGGCTGGGGGTTTAGTTCAGTAGTAGAGTGTGTACTTATCGTGCATGAGGCCCTGGGTTCAATCCCCAGCACCAGAAAAAGTATGTGTATGTATGTATTTAAATGTCCTACTGGCCTCAGTAAAGCTGCTTCAATGTTGAATGAAGAAGAAATGAAGACTTAGAAACATTTCACTTTTTCTGAATTGGATATTTTGCAAAAGGTTGCTCATCACAGTTACTGGAGTTAATTCAGCTCACCTTCCTTCTTAAGGAAGAAGATTGGAAGGAGATTGGAACTGTGGCCATTAGGGTTCTCAGTTGACAAGACCGTTGCAAATGAAAACAGTTATACTTACCAACCCTCAGTGGAATGTTAGGTTGTCAGCTCTGATTTTCTGTTTTTTACTATTGCAAAGTTCAAAAGATATCTTTATTAAGAGAAAGATTTTATACTAGAGATTTTATACTTCTCCTTTACAACATGATCTCCCAGTCCAGCTTCCTTTTCCAGAGAGACCCACGTAACTCCTGTAAGATGTGCTTTGGGCTTTGGCTGTACTCAGCATGCATGTAGATAATTTAGGGAATATTTGTGTACATGCAGCTGTATTACATTCCCACATCTAGAGTTACAGCATTCCTTTTACAGCCATATAGTATTTCTAAGTTCTAATTTGCCATGTGTTCAACTATTAGTCCCTCATAGTGCATATTGTTTACAAACAGGGAACATCCTTGTATGTATTTTTGTATATAGAGAGTATTTCTAGAATATTCTTCTGGACCAGAAGGTCCTAGAAGAGGAAAGTTCTTTCTGAGGAGCGATGCTAATGTTGAAGGAATGGATAGTATGCTGAATAGACAGATGAAAGAAGGAGCGCTTCTGAGACTAGGACGATTGGGAACCTTAGATTTCTTTTTAAAAAAAACCCTGAACTATTAAAAACTAATGGATTGCCATTAATCTTGAGGGAGTTACTTTGTATAGGTAATATAACCACATTTATGAAAAAGAAGGAATTGCCTTTTGTTTTCAGTTACTTTAAACAGAATATTATAGGTTAATTGGAAAGAAAACTAACAGGCTAGTGAAAATTCAGGTAAATGGATTAAAAGAAAAATGGAGCTTAGATTTTATACATCACAAAGTAGGCTTCTGCAGGCTGACTTGCCTGTAGTTAAGGCTTCATAATAGTTGCCTGGGTGTTTTTTTAAAATCCACATTTGTGCCAAACATTTGAATCACATAGACTTGGATTCTTGGCCTGTCCATTTGGTAACCGTGTAGCTTTTGACAAGCCACTTCATTTGTTTTAGTCTCTCTCTTTTTTTTTTTTTTTTTCTCAGCAGTACTGAGGTTTGAACTCAGGGCTTCTCACTTGCTAGACAGTGCTCTACTGCTTGAGCCACACCTCCAGCTAGTCTTATTTTCTTACCTGTAAAATGAGGATAGTAGTGCTGATCTCATAATAGTGAGAAAGGTATAGTGCAGAGGTGTCATCAAGATGGTGTATACAGCATGTCTTTAAATAAGTCACATTTACAGCCATAAACTAAGATTTCTAAATATATTTTCTCTTGAATACAGGAGATTTCTACTGTATGACACTTTTCAATTGATTTATATTCTTTTAATTCCTAAAGTTATCTGCCTATATGGGGTGATTGGCTTAAAACCATAGGACTACCTCTGCCCACAACAATCTCCCTAGCCACTTGCCACAACCCCTCCTGCCAAGTTTGCCTTTAAATGCTCCAAATTAAAGAGTTTCTATTTGATGATTTAAAGAAAAAAAAAAAATAAGGTGAGCAGACTATGCTGGGGTTGCAGCAGGAAAGGTCATATATATGGTGGTAATCAGGTTAGATCCCTTGGTGGTGGGGGCTTTCCAAGCAGTGCAGTGATTCACACAGGAATACTAACATTGTCTTCAATTTTCTATTGAACCATTCTTGGCAACACAGGAGATTTACCTGTTTTTTTTTTTTGATATGGTTAAACTGTAAATGCTATAAAATTATTGACTTTGGACTAGGGATATAGCTTAGTGGTAGAACACTTGACTAGTGTGCATGAGGCAAGTCCCGGCTTCCCTCCCCAACACCACACATACACACACACACAAAACCACAAACAAAACCAAAAAAAAGTTGGTTAGCATCTTTCTCCATTGTAGTGGTTTTTGGCTGATCCTGTGAATCTCATCACCTCCTACATTACCCACTTGCCATGCAGAAGGGGAATCAAAAGCAAGAGCATAGAGCATATTTTTATTTAAAGTTGGTTGGAAATATCAGACCCCAAACTCTTAAGTTGATACAAGAAAGAGTAGGAAATACTCTGGAGTTAGTAGGTATAGGTAAGAACTTTCTCAATGAAACCCCAGCAGCACAGCAACTAAGAGATAGCATAGATAAATGGGACCTCATAAAACTAAAAAGCTTCTGTTCATCAAAAGAAATGGTCTCTAAACTGAAGAGAACACCCACAGAGTGGGAGAAAATATTTGCCAACTATACATCAGACAAAGGACTGATAACCAGAATATACAGGGAACTTAAAAAACTAAATTCTCCCAAAACTAATGAACCAATAAAGAAATGGGCAGGTGAACTAAACAGAACTTTCTCAAAAGAAGAAATTCAAATGGCCAGAAAACACATGAAAAAATGCTCACCATCTCTAGCAATAAAGGAAATGCAAATTAAAACCACACTAAGATTCCACCTCACCCCTGTTAGAATAGCCATCATCAGCAACACCACCAACAACAGGTGTTGGCGAGGATGCGGGGAAAAAGGAACCCTCTTACACTGTTGGTGGAATGTAGACTAGTACAACCACTCTGGAAAAAAATTTGGAGGCTACTTAAAAAGCTGGACATCGATCTACCATTTGATCCAGCAATACCACTCTTGGGGATATACCCAAAAGACTGTTACTCCAGAGGCACCTGCACATCCATGTTTATTGCGGCACTATTCACAATAGCCAAGTTATGGAAACAGCCAAGATGCCCCAGCACTGACGAATGGATTAAGAAAATGTGGTATCTATACACAATGGAATTTATGCAGCCATGAAGAAGAACGAAATGTTATCATTCGCTGGTAAATGGATGGAATTGGAGAACATCATTCTGAGTGAGGTTAGCCTGGCCAAAAGACCAAAAATCGTATGTTCTCCCTCATATGTGGACATTAGATCAAGGGCAAACACAACAAGGGGATTGGACTATGAGCACATGATAAAAGCGAGAGCACACAAGGGAGGGGTGAGGATAGGTAAGACACCTAAAAAACTAGCTAGCATTTGTTGCCCTTAATGCAGAGAAACTAAAGCAGATACCTTAAAGCAACTGAGGCCAATAGAAAAAAGGAGACCAGGAACTAGAGAAAAGGTTAGATTAAAAAGAATTAACCTAGAAGGTAACACCCACGCACAGGAAATCAATGTGAGTCAATGCCCTGTATAGCTATCCTTATCTCAACCAGCAAAACCCCTTGTTCCTTCCTATTATTGCTTATACTCTCTCTACAACAAAATTAGAGATAAGGGCAAAATAGTTTCTGCTGGGTATTGAGGGGGGAAGTGGGAGGGGGTGGAGTGGGTGGTAAGGGAGGGGGTGGGGGCAGGGGGGAGAAATAAACCAAGCCTTGTATGCACATATGAATAATAAAAGAAAAATGAAAAAAAAAATAAATAAAAAAATAAAGTTGGTTGGATACTATTATTTCAGTGTGACACGCTTTCTGATTTTTGTATTATATTAAATAGCTTTTGCTTTTTTACAGGGGATCATCTTGGCCAACAGTACAACAGTCCACAAGAAGTTATTGGTAAACGAGGTTCTGATGTTATCATTGTAGGCCGGGGAATACTTTCCGCTGCTAATCACCTGGAAGCAGCTGAGATGTACAGAAAAGCTGCCTGGGAAGCTTATTTGAGCAGACTTGCTGTTTGAGTAACCTTGGATACATTTATGTGAAAGCACTGAAGATCAATGAGCTCCTGAAAAATCATTGGCTTGAAATGATCAGCAGCCTTTCCTGCTGATTGGGTTCTTGCACAGGGTCTGTGTGGAAGAGTCTCGAGTTTTGTGATGGTTTTTAGAAAATACTGAATGACTTGTGATCACTGCATTGGTACTTATAACAAGCTCATTTTTAACCTTGCCTTTGAGATTAGTTTTTATTATGTAACCACCAATGTGGAAGATCCCATCTCTAGCTGGGGCTAGACTGCTTTATTCTTTTTAGACAAAAATTTTAGGAATTAGAGGCTAAAACCAGTATGGCATATGTCCTTTATTCTGTCTAATATGTTGCTCAAGTAATATCTGAATATCACTTCACCTTTACAGTCCAGTTACCCAAATGGTGCTGGATCCTAGAACCACTATTGCTCACTCAAAGAGCAGGCAGGATATGACTGAACCTTTATGCTAGTATCTGGCTCCTTTCTTCTCAGCAACAGGTGTGGACCATGGAGGAAGTCAGCCACAGTTTCCTCTCGCCTTATTTGGATGACAAGCTGCTGCTTAATTTACTTAAGACAGCAGTGTCAGGTCATTTGGGGGATTGTCTTGAGGATCCCACATAATTGTCCCAGTTCTCATTAACACAGGGAAACCAGCCTTTCAGAGTGTTAAAAGGGAGAAATTCCTTAGCCCAATTAGGATAAGCAGAGTTTGAGCAAAGACAAAAACAATTTACAAATTGGGCAGCTTGCAGAACCAGAGGAGGTTCCGAGAACTCCCAACATTTATAGAAAATGGAAGTGAGGCATAGAACTAACTCGCTATAGCCTGATCAACTGGTCAATGGTTTATAGTTTAACTAGTTAGGTAATGCAAAGTCCGTTTATTGGGCCTAGTTCAGATGCGCAGTCCAAATCTGCCTCTGGCAAACTGAATGAGTTACATTATCTTGGATTTCTGGTCTCCATTACATCATCTTCATTTAAGTTTCAAAGAGAGGACTTTGAACAGATAGCTGCACAAAAAACATTCAAAACTTGAGAGCATAGCATATCAGGGAAACCACTCTGATGACTATCAGGAAGATAATACCAAGAATTTGCAATGTGCATCTTAGAGCCAGGGACCCCATGAATCAAACCAAAAATCAAATGATCAGAGAATCCAGTTGAGTCCATTAACCAAATAGTCTAGTAGTTAATTTTCTTAATCTGGATAAGTATTAGCAACTGCAGACCTCTTCACTGTAAAGCTAGTATGTAATCCAGTACCCCATGACCAAATTAAGAGGAATGGAACAGGTGCTAGAAGGGTCTAGAAATCTGGTTACAGTACAATCAAGTGAATGAGGTAAGCATAAGTAAGGAAAAATTAAGAGGTATAGATAGTCTCATTATGGGGAGTCTTATTCTGATGTTTTAGGGAAAGCTGTCCACGTCAAAGTAGTCATCTACTTCTGGGTAAAGTCAGCTTTACCTTTGTCTCTAACAAGTATACAGTTGCAGGACCCAAGTTGGGGCCCTGAAGCTTCTACGCAGCTCAAGCAATGAGAAAAATGAAGTATCCTCCACCAGGGTTCAAAAACAGGTTGATTGCATTTGTAGAAGACCCAGCCTTCAGGTTTTAGAATGTGGAAAATCTGGCTGGCATCAGTTGAAGAGTCACAGAGCTTCCTCTGCCTGGTGAAATATGCCTCAAAGCAATGCCCTAAAACATTGTAGCATTTACTCACACCAGAATTTTGGAAAGTAGGACATATTTGGAAGTCTTTTTCCTTAATAAAACCTTATGTAACTGTTTCATCCACTTAACTACAGTACATTTGGCTAATATAATCCAATTGACCTTGCTAGTTCAATTTCAAAATACAACTCTTCCAGGAGCCAGTATGATAAAGGCAATTTCAGTGCCACCATGTTTAACACTATTCAGCAGTTTCGTAATTTACCCAAGGAAAAATCCTCTTGTCACCTTGAGAAGTTTCCACTTCAAGAGCTTCTACTCTGATGTCCAATTTAAGGTTCAGGTCCCAGTGCTGTACCTCCAGAGAAATTCTCTGTAGGAAAGGGACAAATTATCAAGGAACAAGAAGGCCTGAAGGCAAAGGCAGGGGCAAAGCCCTGGGGTTACTCTGGAGGATCCCAAAGTCATGAAGAGGAGAATTTTCTGAGAAAATCTTGTGGAAATTTCAGGTTTCTTCCAGTTGTGACCAGAGACTGATGAGAGGCCTTCGGAATGACACTGAGGTCTCTGGATCAACGTCATTGTGTGAGCCAGGGGCTCTTCTGTATTAGTGTGATCAGTCATCCAGAGCCTTGTTGCAATAGGCGAGGCTCCACACCAGCCTTGATAAATCTGGGTAGCTTTGGGATGGGACTGAACACTGCATTTCTAACAAATATCCAGATCAGCCTTTAAGGAACCGTTACACCTGTGAGTCAGCATTTTTGCAGTGGATGTCCTTGGGGTCTGTCTCGGGATCTAGATGTTTCCTAAGGGTGGGTCCTTGTGCTGAGCACCTCTTCTCTAAGCAAAAGCCCATGCACTCCACTCACAGCGCCAGAGTACAAGTCAGACGGAAGAACCCAGGTTGTCAGGGCTCTGAGAGCCCTGTTCATCAATCAGCTTGGGAGCCATGATGTACTTCAGTCCTCAGCTGACAGCCTGAGCTCTGGGCATTGGAGGATCCGATCCTGGTGGGGAAAACAGGAGCAGGGCCAGGAGTGTGCCCAGCATAGCTTTTGGACTAACAGTTGGACACCTCTTCCACTGCTCGAATGCTGTAACAGAAGCCCCTAGGTTTTTTTGTGCTGGAGGAATCTAGGAAACTGCTGGGTTCCACTCCCCCTGTTTAGAGCTACAGAGTGCAGACCTGTAAGATTATTGGATCTGCTTAGTCTCCCAGTCACCCTTCACCATCACTCATGCTAAGGGGAGTCAGCCTGGCATGAAAAGCTCCCAAAAGTAGTTCCAGTGAAGATGGCACTCTATGGACATTTTTAAAAGTTCTTCCATACTCCACCTGCTTCTGCTGGACCAGCACGTAGGCAAGGCCTGAACTGTTCACTTGACCACAGGCTCTGCCAAAGCTCTATAACTAGGACAGGTGTAGTGCATTGTCTCCTCAGGTTTGGTGGGGCAAGAAACAATAGTAGGGAGGCTCAGGACTTGGGCAAAGAGTACCTCAGAGGGCCAACTGTGTCCTTGGTTGTGGAGGAGCCGAGCTTTTTGACAGCCTCTATAGAAGTCAGATGCCGTCTTGGTGAGTATGCTGCTAACAAAGATCTTTACCACAAGTCCTGGAAACTACCCTCAAGCAACAGGAGCCTGGCAGGACAGATTACCTATGATGCATCACTACCCAAATGGGGACAATTACCCATGACAGGAACTGGGAGCAGTGTCCCTCATGGGGACAGATTGGTCCCTCAAGTGATGACAGTGACAGCAACTTCTCCAGAACCAGAACTGAGCTAGTGATCCATCAATGACCACTGACTTGACCAGCATTGCCCGCTGTCTCTGGGCACACCCTCAGCTATGCATAACCCAGCCAAATCCTTTGTTTCCTTCTATAAAATCTCAACGTTCTTGTCAGCCCCTTGCAGACAGACTTGGGGTAACGGAGCCTCTTTACCTGTTCTTCCCAATGTAGTTATATTTACTCAAGCTCCTTTCTCTGCTCTTTACCACTATTCATCTTTTTGATAAGTGTATTGGGACAAGTGGCCAAGCATAGTCCATTGGGATCCCTAGGGCCAGCACTTTTGCCCTAAAATGCTGATAAAATGTCAATTCATCCTTTCAAGGTCTATGGAGCCAAGGGTAAGCAAAGAAAGTAAAGCACCAGAGGAAATTCAAACAGGGAAGAAAGGAAAGAACTACCTGTGACAGGTGTACACGCCAGAGGTTAGTGAGGATTCACTGTGTTGTGCTCACTACTGGATTCTCAGTAGTGGGTCCGAGTGTGTATTTGGTAATGCATGGTAGGACAAGTGCTCCTGATGGAAGTGAGCTGCCAGCAGAACTCACCAGGACTTTATCCCCAAAGGCCAAAACAACAAAACGGGACTCAAGTATGATGTTTTGTTTGGAAGGTAAAATTTAAAATTTAATTTTGTTTTCTTGCAGTGCTAGAGATCAAACCCAAGGCCTTTTGATTGGTGTACAGGGACAGGTGGCCAAACCCAGTCCATTGGGACTAGACAAGCACCCTACCACTGAGCTAAGATGAAAAAATTTAAAAGGGGATAATAATAATGAGAACTGCATTCGTGAGCTGGAAGAACAAGTGGAAGAAATATACTAAAATTTGACAAAAGTACAAAGAAATAGAAGTAATAAGGGAGAAGATAGGCTTAGAGACCAGAGCCATTACTATTAGGAGAAAAAGGCTCTGAACCATACACCAAATTTTTCCTCAATTAAAAATACAATGTAAGCCAGGCATGATGGTGCACACCAGTAATCCAAGACCCTGTCTCAAAAAAAAAAAAAAACCATGAAAAAGATCAGGACTGAGATTTCTTATACTCATGGGATGCTATATCTCTTCCGTTCTCTTTCTTTCCTTTCCCTCGCTCCCCTTCCTTCCTTCCCTTCGTTTCCTTTGTTCCAGATCTCAGGGCCTCTAACATTTTTAATCTGCCCTTGTATGAATTGACTTTTTTTTTTTGGTTCAAGTAATCCTTTGTTTTTCCCTACAATTTTCCAAGTTTATACGTGTTCGTTGTGCTTCAGGAAAAGGTCACAAGAGAAATACAAAGAGAAACAAAATAATTCGAATATGCTTCAAAATTTAAAGTTCAAGGTTTTGTTGTGTGTGTTTAGAAGAATGTTTGCCTAACCCTCTGCTACCCACAGAGGAGGGAGAATCTTCCTCTGAGCTGGAGAGGGGCAAGGGGCAGAGTGAGTCTGACTCAGGCCCGTCTGTGAGCTCTGCACCCAGGGAGAAGAGTGGGAGGGAGATAGACATCACGTAAGTGTGAGAACACCAGCAGAAGTCTGTGCCTGCTTTTCCTAGTAAGCACCCAGGACAACAGTGATGGTCCAGAGATTTCCCCCACCCAGCCTGGAGCATCACAGTGGGCTCAGAGGCTCTTTGAGTCTGAGGCAGCCTGAGCTTCCTGCATCTCCAGGTGACATAACAGAAGCCAAGTCTCTCTGTATCCCTAACTGCCTATGGGAGTTAGCTGAGAAATAGATCTGAGGCCTCTTGACCATCAGGCAAGGCTTCAGTGGACAGTAGGATGGACCCTCAGAAAAACATCAGTAGTTCCCCTTTATACATGGCTTTGCTTTCCTTAATTCAGTTACCTGCAGTCAACTGAGATCTGAAAATATTAAATAATTGATAGATTTTAATTGCAGGCTATTCTGAGTACCATGATGTTGTACCCAAGACATGAATTGTTCTTTTGTCCAGTATATCCACCTGTATACACTACCCTTCTGTTAGTCACTTAGTAGCCACCTCAGTTAGATCAATTGTTGCAGTATCACAATGCTTGTGTTCAAGTAATCTTACGCAGTAACCTGTATCACAATGCCTGTTACTCACCTCACTCTATGTCATGTATCATTTCATGCGGAATATTTTGAGAAAGTACATTCATATAACTTATTACAAGATTATTGTAATTGTTTTATTTTATTGTTAGTTATTGTTAATCTCTTACTGTGCCGAACTTGTAAGTTAAACCTGACTGTAGGTATGTATGTATAGAAAAAAATAGTATACGTAGGGTTTGCTATTCACTTTCAGGCACTCACTTGGGGGTTAGGGGACACACTGAAATTAGTCTTTCTTTCCCTCCCATCTTGCTGTCTCTGTGACTTCCCCAAACCCCTATGGTCTCTTTTTGGGCTCCTCCTCCCTTCTATTGTCTCCCCCTCCCCTTCTTTTAAACTCCAGTTCCATTCAATAAGGGGTGCCTCCCAACTTAAATCAAGCCTGCAGCAATCCTTGCTTGAGCTGCAAAACGACCATAAGGAAAGGTATCTCCTTGACTTTCCTGGGCCTTTGCCAGCTTGTCCACACCTATGTGTAGATACACGAAATGCACCCCCAAACCCTCTAGCTGGTAGTGTTTTGATAGTGTATGCTGTTTTAGAAATTGTCTCATGATCATGGTCAAGGCAGGAATGCTAACCAGGACATGTCAGCTCATACTGTGGGGCTAGCTGACTTGGGGCAAAAAGAAGCCACAGACCAGTGCCTAGGGCAACCTGCATGTCTCCTCCATGGAATAGTCTGAAGTACTGAATTTCCATTCTGACAAACATGGAATTTCTGTCAGTTGTCTTCTTCCTTCATTTGCTAAAATAGAAGTTTCTTGAGCTGTACCTGGGTTTTTGGTTAATGTGTGTGTACCAGAGACTGCTCTTGACTGTGGTGGGAGAGGGAGACATTTTATCATTTATTTGCACACAGAGGGGCTTCTCTGTATCTCAGGGGAGACCTATGTCCCGAGGCAGAAACCCAGCTGACTCCCTCATCATCCTGCAGTGCAAAGGAAATGAGAAAAGGGACCTCTGGGCCTGGGTCTCACTTGCCAGCCCTCAATCAAGGTGTCACTGCACTCCTTGTGCTCCTTTGTAAGTGGGGAACTATCACCACTGAGCACTGTGTGGGGCAATCGTGAGGACAAATGAGGAGAGGAGGTAATCTTTTATCTCAGGGCCTGACATTCTATGCAGGTAGGATAAATGACGTTTAACTGGTCAGCCTTCAGGAGTGCTTTTGAAGTCAAACTTAAGATAGAGCTGCTATAGCGGAGTATGTCTGTAATCCTGGCACTACGGAGGCTGAGGCAAGAGGATCAAGAATTTGAGGACAGCCTGGGCTAGCAAGACCCTCAAAACAACAAAAAAAGGGTAACCCTGAGACACAGGCCTAGGGATTTTAGCATCCTCCCTATTCCACATTTATAAACTTTATTCTGTAGCATTCACACCAATGACACAAGGTCACCAGGGCTTATGACTCTTGATGATTGCTTCCTTGCAGTTTTTATCTTGCTGTCTTGTTTTGTTTTGTTTTTTGAGACAAGGTCTTGCCACATAGCTTGAGCTGGCCTTGAATTTGCGATTACAGGTGTACATCACCATTCCTGGCTTATCTCTATCTCGCCTTCTGCAACAAGAATGTGAGGCATCTTAAAGATGAAGTTATGCAGCTGGACATGACAGAGGATCAGGGAGAGGATGGGGGTCAAGGAGCAGTCAGGATTCAGTGGAGAAGACAAAGAACCCAAGGTTTTCTCTGTCTTCCCCATCATATGAACAATCTCTGGAACATTAAACACATCAAGTTCCCAGCTTCCTAACAACCCAAGACACCAACTGGCCAGATTGTACAGGTGACAAAGTACAGCATCAGTCAGAGAGAGAGATGGACTTCCTGGCATTACACTCCACAGATATGAAGACTTTGTCACTATATAACATGTCATTCAGCCCATCTGGGAGGTGGCTCTGTCAGAGCAGATGGCCAGGTAGTGACTTCCATCCCTGCTCCCCATAGCCCCTTCCCCAACGGTGAGTGCAGCAAGAGGCACTTGGGGCTGTGAAGGCTGGTCCTCAGGCCTTTCCTGACTTGGCCCATGAGGCTGTCTCCTGTTCTCTGCAGCTCCACACCCTCACTTGAGGGCCTGAAGGACTGTGAACCAGGTCCTGGCTAAGAATTGGGGCCCCTAAGAAGGGAGAGCAGGTGAGAGACCTCAGGAGCTGCCCAGCTCTTCACAGCCAAGACAGCACCTCAGTCCTGGTGTGTTAAGGACACACCCCTCCAGGCCCCACCTCAAAGTTTCCACCACCTCCCAACAGCACCAAGCTGGAGGCCCTTGAGAGACAAGCAAGAGCAGTTACCTCTGAGGGATGTGATTCTAAGACTTTATGATTTTCCTTACTTTACTTCTTTTCCATCTAGAATTTTGTAATTAGAAAAGTCATTCAAATCAAAATCTGAAGTATCATTTGGAAATCTGGCATGCCGGTGAATGCCTGTAATCCTAGCACTCAGGAGGCTAAGACAAGATGATTGTGAATTCAAAGCCAGCCTGGGCTACATAGCAAGGACTTGTTTCAAAAACAAAACAAAAATACAATTCCATAAATTGATTACACAGGTTAATAGTTCTTTCTCTCCAACAAGTAAATGCATACTTTTTAATCTTTCCAGACACACACCAGAGATCTTTTCTTTCTATGCAAGATCACCAGGTGCTCCTTGCAGGTCACAATGCACAACGGCAGGTCCCTCTGCATGAACTCTCCCTTCCATCCGGGTGTCTCTGCAGCCCAGGACAATAGGAAGGGCAGTCTGCCCACCCTGGGCTGGAGAGAGCTTTGCAAAAGAAAGAACATTTCCAAAGCTCCACTTTGATGGAAATACTTTAAAATTATAAAATGACAGGCCAGGAGCAGAGATGTAAAATGAGGCATTTGGGATAGTCTTTGCTGTCACTTTCTGCTGGGAATCATAGGGTATTATTATTATTGGGTTAGACTCTCCAGCATCAGGTCTCCTTTTGCCAGTGCTTGTGCCAAGAGCTTCCAGCAGGGGGCAGCAGGGCATTGCAGGAGACTGGTTCCTCCACACACACCTTCCTCCCTCTGGTGTCCTGGTTTGAAAACACCAACTTCTGTACCGAGTGGAAACTACAGCCAGTCATCCTGGTGTCTGACGCTCAAGAGTACTGTGCACTCCCAGTTGCCTTTAGATGATGGGACTCTGAAAAAGTTAATGCATGGTCTCTAGGAAACCCACAAATTTCTTCCAAGATTATTTGTTTTTTTCAATTTAGAAAGCCTCAAACCACCATTTTATTACCTGTTGTATATTTTTACTTAACTCGCTGCATCCCCAAAAGGACTTACGGCAGCTTCCCCAAGTTACACAAGAGAGAAAGAGACTCAGAATATGTTCTTTTCCCCCAGGTATTCGGCTCAATTTACTGACAGGTATTTGTTTTAGTGTTGGCAAAATGAAGGAAGAGGAATTGTAAGAGGTCCCAGGCTGAGAACAGATCAATCTGGAATGAAGGGTCATAGGCTTGAAGTGAGCCAGTAACAAATGATTAGTGTAAGAGATTTTACAAGGAAGAGCAGGGATTGGAAGCTAGCACTCTGGGCAGGTGGGAGCCAGGGGCTTAATACCAGCCTGTTCTTAGTTAGCAAGGCACTTCCATAAATAAGGGCCTGACAACCTTGAGCTCTCCTCCATCTCTCACATGGGAGCTCAAGGGCCTGGGTGGGATACAGGAGTTTGGTGGGAGAACACTATTTTTTTTTTCATTTTTCTTTTATTATTCATATGTGCATACAAGGCTTGGGTCATTTCTCCCCCCTGCCCCCACCCCCTCCCTTACCACCCACTCCACCCCTCCCGCTCCCCCCCTCAATACCCAGCAGAAACTATTTTGCCCTTATCTCTAATTTTTGTTGTAGAGAGAGTATAAGCAATAATAGGAAGGAACAAGGGGTTTTGCTGGTTGAGATAAGGATAGCTATACAGGGCATTGACTCACATTGATTTCCTGTGCGTGGGTGTTACCTTCTAGGTTAATTCTTTTTGATCTAACCTTTTCTCTAGTACCTGGTCCCCTTTTCCTATTGGCCTCAGTTGCTTTTAAGGTATCTGCTTTAGTTTCTCTGCGTTAAGGGCAACAAATGCTAGCTAGTTTTTAGGTGTCTTACCTATCCTCACCCCTCCCTTGTGTGCTCTTGCTTTTATCATGTGCTCATAGTCCAATCCCCTTGTTGTGGTTTGCCCTTGATCTAATGTCCACATATGAGGGAGAACATACGATTTTTGGTCTTTTGGGCCAGGCTAACCAGGAGAACACTATTGAGGCTAACATGTAAGAAGTGACTTTCCCTCATCTGCACAGTCTATTTCTGGTCTTGGCACCTCAGAAGTGGGGTGAGAGGACAACTGGTTGTTTGCAGTGTTTCTACCTACACTCCATCTAAGCGAAGCTGGCCAGTGCTATCTCAGGCCACTCTGACTGGAGCGTCTCAGAGAGCACTGTTAGATTAGATTGAATCCTGGTCTGATGTATTGCACAGGGACCTGTCCCATCCTTGAGGAGGCACGTGACCATATCCATCCCCACTGGGGATCACTCAAGACCACTCAGAAAGGAACACACATCTGAGAGAATGAGGCCAACACAAATGAATTTGGTTTCAATCTTTACTTTCAATTCCACACAATCTCTTTCCTTTTCATTACAAAAGTACTGAATGAACATGGACAGGACAGAAAAAAAACCTGACATTTGCAAAGTGTGACCCTTCAACAGGCACCTCAACAGTCCCATCACCAACACCCACATGCAAGGCACAGACACCAGGCGGACAATTCTCAGTAATCAGAGCTACACCATAAATGCGGACCTTTTTATTTTATATAAAAATGATCAACGTGAAAAAGCCAGGCTGCACGTGGGTTTTACACACTCTGACCCTTCTCAATAGCCTTCTGTCTGGTCAGGCCAGAAGGAGGAGGCAGCCCTGCTCTCAGCAGTTCAGAACCAACAAGCTGGAGGTGGTAGGGAGAGCCAAGCGCACCAAGGTCCCCTTGCTTTTCCCAGGCTTGGAGAGAGGCAGCCTCACGTGGCTCTGGCCCCCGCAGCCAGGTGGCATGGCTAGGTACTCCGGTCTGGGCAGCAGGCTCCTCATCCAAGTTCACCAGGAGGGCTTCTCAGTACTTGCCTATCTAGGGAGCCATAATCAATAGAGCTGTCCAAGGCATTTCATGACTTTGTTCTTAGCCCCCTCCAGTGCTACTGAAGCAGAAGCCATCAGTCCACTGTGCCATTGTAGGATTTGTTGAACTTGTTAAAGGTGAAATCCACGGTGTGTGTGGAGATGGGCTTTCTGTAGAGGGGGTTGGAAGCCTGAGGGCACAGAGGTGAGAGGACATGTGTTAGTTCTGGTGCCCAAGCCAACAGGCTCAGGTCTAATGCCCATCCCCAGTCAGCCACTGGGAAGGTGGCAAGCAGAGCCACTGTCTGGGCCAGGACTAGTTCTGCCTCTGACTTGCTCTGTGTCCCTGGGAGATTCCTTGCTCTGAGTTTTTATTCATTTCTGAAATGAGGGTTGGTTCAGAAGGTCTCTGAAGTCCCTTGCAACTTTAATGGACACTGACTGGGATTCCATAGGTGCTTACTCTGTACTCAGGCCTTCATGAACCTACAGTCTGCCTGAGGAGACAAGGCTTGCTCCCATGAATACTGTAACAGACTGTGAGAACTTGAGCTGCTGGCCTGTTTTCTCCGAGCTTGTCCAGACAGACTCTTCCCACTGATCCTGTGTGTGGCACCTCTGCCCATGGCAATTCCAATCTGGGCCTGGTGCAGGGATCCATGTGCTCTGGGGCTGTACAATTCTTGCTGTCCAACACTGAGCACAGCCTTGCAGGTGTTCATTATTTTTATTTTTATTTTTTGTAATTCTGGGGATTAAACCTAGGGCCTCAGGCTTGCTGAGCTATATTCACTGCCCCCCCCCTTTTTGAGACAAGTCTCACTTATTACAGGATTATAAGTGTACACCACACCCAGCTCCCCATTCCATTTTTAAAATTTTATTTTGACATAGGGTCTTGCTAAGTTGCCCAGGCTGGCCTCGAATTTGTGATTCTCCTGTCTCAGCCTCCCAAGTAGCTGAGATTATAGGTGTGCATCACCATCCCCAGATGATTTAATGCCCAAAATATCATCAGTCTTCATCACTAACACACCATTGAACTCAACCATGCCTCTGGGCTAAAGTCTCTTCTCTGCCCATGGCCCTCTGACTCACCATTTCGTAGCGGGCCCTAGAGCGTTCACTCTGGAACTTTGCAAATTCTCTGCGGTCATGGATGGTGACAAGCAGCTTCCAGATGGCCAGGAGTGCAATTCCAATCAGCAGGATGCTGCCAACCACAGCCAGCAGGATGGTCATGGCATTGGGGGCGGCTCCACACTCTGGAGGGGACCGAGAGGCATGGTGGGCAAAGCCACGAGCATCCTGCACATCCCCCCACCCACTGCCCTGCCTCAAGCACATCTAAGATGAAAGGTCACCTCTCCCAGACACCTTCCCCTCTGTTTTTCTCTTAGATCCCCACATTGTCTTTGTGAGACTGGAGGGGCAGGTAGGTGTAGACTTCCCCAATGTGCAGGCAGTAGAAGAGGAATGGTGACTGCTCTAAGGTCACGTAGCCAAAGGATAGCAAAGTCTAGATGAGAGCCCTGGTGAATGGCTGTGCTTCCCCTGAAGGATGTCTCCTTGCCCCAGCCTGGCTGGCTCCAGTGCAGGATGCTGGACCATGGCTCAGCTTTCATGTTGATGGCTTCTGGGACAGATGGGGAAGATAGGAGTTAGCATGAACCACTTCTGAAAGGGCTGGGCTGGAGACCAGCCAACATTTCTCTGCCCTTAATGTGGAGTCCCTTGGAACAAATGTGCTCATTTTCAGAGAAAAGCGCAAAGACAGCCTTACAGACAAAGCCATACTGCTCCAGGCAAGCGTTGGGGCCCCCGCACAAACGGCACAGTTCCCTTTGGAATCAGAGGCTGCAATGCTGTAAATTGGAGATAGCAAATCTTTTTCTGCTCTCTCCCTGCCTCCAAAAAAGATCTGATCTAGACATTTCAATTACTCCAAGGCAAAGGCTGTTAGTCCCTGGGTGAGAACACAGGCAGAATTGTCAGAGTTCAGAGGAAAGTTTAGCTTCCTCAAAGGCTGGGGACATGGAGCACGGCAACAGGCAGTATGCTGCACCCAGCACTCCATCTGACTTCCTTGGAACCTGCCCTGGGAAGCAGCAGCAGCCAGCGAAGCTGTGTGTTCCTGGATGCTCCCAACTGAAGCAATGCCCCAGCTCTGCAGGTTCAGCCACCCTGTACTCTTCCTGCAGAGCACAGGGACTCCACTTCCAAGCCCCTTCCAGGATCTTGCAAGCCAAGTTCTGTTTCCTCCAACACACACCCCGAGGCTTAGGCCCTGTCCTCCGACAGTTCCATTGCCCTAGCCAGGCCTTAGCCATTGCCTCATCAATGGGCCCCAGCCATAGACCATCTGTCTTCTAAGTCCGAGAGAGAGAGAGAGAGAGAGAGAGAGGAGAGAGAGTGAGTGAGTGAGTATGTGTGTGTGTTGAGCAGGGGTGGCCTTAGAGCCTGATCTTCACAAGGAATTGAATTGTATCCTTCCTCTCTGGGATTTGAAAAGGATGGTGAGCAGAGAATGGTGAAAACCGGAACTAGGGCTGGGCTGTGCCCCTTGGGGCTCCCTCTCACCTGGCTCCCTGAGGACTGTCAGGTTGGACCTCCCATTGGGCAGCTCCGCATAGGTGAACATCATGACACAATCCTTGGCAGTTTTGTAGAAGCAAAGCACAGCCTCCTGGTCATCTTTGACTAGAAGAAAAGCAAGAAGAAATATTCTGAACGTCTCTGGACAACACCAGAGCTGCTGATGGTTGAGGCAGGAGCCGAGCACCTCAGAGAAGGGTGGGAGGCAGAGAGGCTTAAAGAGCTGGTGGAGTGGCTCAAGTGGTAAAAGCGCTGCCTAGCAAGGGAGAGGCCCTGAGTTTCGCCCCAGTACTGCCAAAACAAAAACAAAAACACAAACTTATAAAATGAGCTCAGGTTTCTCACATCAAGATTGCAGGCCCAGAGCTAAGACTATTGCTTTGGGGACACATGGACCACATCAGAGATCTTCAACCCTCTGAAGTGTTTGTTGGGGGCAACATGAAACAAAAGAAGCCTTTAATGGTTGGGGATAGGAATGAGTGGATAGAATTGGGTGGAAATTAAAGAAATAAAAGACCACCCTGACCCACCCCTATCCCCACCGACATCTAAGTGACAGTCCATACTTGAGAAATAGTTCAGTCCACTCAGGGCTGAGAGGAGGCTACAGAGGCAGCTCTTCCTGAGATGTAAGAAGCTTGGGGTAAGAAGGACATGTGGGTGACAGGCTGGTGCACACTGAGATTAAGTGAGTTGGTGATGACCATCAGGACATTCTCTGACCCAGTTCTGCACATAGGCCCTCTCCTGGATGCTAGCAAGCCCCTTCCTTAGCAGCCTCAGCCCTACCCTGCCCCACGCTGCCTTTGACCTGAGGGAACATTGTCACTGTCCCCTGTCCAGTCACTGTTTCACTCATCCCTGGAAGAGAGTTTTAAGACTGATGTAGAGGAGGGATGGGAACCAGAAGAAAAGGGTGAAGAGGGATGCAAACAAAAAGGAAGCCAGGTGGCAATGGCAGGTCAGTTTCCTTTTTAACCTGGTTGATCAAAGGAGTTTTAATCTGGAGGCAGATTAAAGTGAGGAAGATTAAGATGCAGTTAGCAAACATGAAGGCCTAGACTTTTTCTCTTAGCTCCATCATCAAGCTAGGTGAGTGGGTATTTTTTAAAGCCTAGAAGGAAGGAAAAGGGTAATGATGAGTTAGGCATGTACTTTCTCTGCTGAGTCCCCTCAGAGGGCTGGATTGGGAAGCAGCTGTGCACAGACCAAAAGAATCAGTTTGTGGGACACAGGAAAGCAGCCTCTCCTCTTTCCTGACCACATGTGTCTCATTAGCGAGGAAACTGGCCCAGGTCTGCAGATAAAACTTGTTGTAAGCCAGGCCCTAGGTAGCAAGAGAGAACAGAGGCAGGAAGATGGCATGTGAGGGACTGTGGTGAGTCCTCACAGTCTCCCCAGGGAATCACACAGGGCTTGGCACATACTAGTGCTCATTGAGTACATGAGGGATAAATATAGAACTCAACCTACTCCAGACCCATGACGTAGTCAAGCAGTCAAAACCATGGAGGAGTGAACCGGAAGTCTATAAAAGAGGTGAGTGAGGTCCAAGACAGACAAGAGCCAAGGCCAGGAGGTGCAGAAGCTGGAGGTCAAGGCAGAGGCCATGCCTGCCAGCAAGGGCACCCTTGGATGCACATTCCCTTTCCATGTACAGATTTTTTCCCCCCACAACTTTAAAATGCAGAGTCAGTTTAGTAAATTCACAGTGTTGTACAACCACTCTCCTGTTTCCCTGCCCCCACCCCTCCCCCACCCCTCCCCCGCCTCAGCGACATCTTATAACAAAAGGATCACATAACTTATGTTCTTTTCTGTCTGACTTCTTTCACTTAGGGCAATGTTTTGGAGACTCATACATGTCACATGTGTCAGCACTTCACTCTTTTTAATAGTTCAATAACATTCCATGTATGCTATGCCAGTGTCTACTGTTTATCAGTTGACCGACACCTATTATGACCAAGGTGTAGACATTTGGGCATATACCTGGAATGGATTTGCAGGACTGTGCAGTGACTCTATGTGTACCTTTTGGGGAAGTTGCCAAACTGATTTCCAGAGCACGTGCATCACTTTACACTCCTGCCAGCACTGTCTGAGGGACCCATCCCAGAGTCCCAGCCAGAGAGCCTAGGCTGTGCTTCCTAACTTGAGGCTAAATCCACACTGTTCCCTAGGGAGGAGGAGACCCTGAGGTATCTGCCACAGTCCACAGGGCTGGCTGCCAAAGGCAGCTCTGGATGCTCAAATGGTGTCCACCCACGTGATCACCTCGTCCTTGCACAGGTGGTGACAGGTCTGGTTGTCAGGTTTCCCTGAGTGAAGCAGCAAGCACTCGACACATTCTCTTTGGAAAAGAGGAAATAAACATGGCTGTTATATGCCACAAAATATCCCATACACATAACTGAGCTCCCAATAGTGTAGGTAGGTCCCTGAAGGTTTAGGTGCTCCGTCTCCCTATGTCTAGCCTCAGGGACTTTCTGCTCTGCCTTCTTGCTGCTGTCATTGGGAAGCCCCAGGATTCTCAGAGGCTATGTGTGAATTTACAGGCACATCTGGTATACATGTCATAGGTCTTTCAAATTCTGACACCAGGAACCAAACCAAGTCCACCTACACTCTGCTACATCCAACATCTGGCTGAGGATCTGGCTCCAAGCAAGAGGTTTCTGGGGGATAAAAATTATCCCTGGTCCCTAGAGGGACCCTCACACTCCTGGGGCCAGTACTTGATACTCCTGTGCTGCCCCAATTCCACAATCCCCACACGAGTCCCTCCGGGAGGGACTTTACAGCCTCCCGAACAGTTTCTCCAGGGGTTTTGTAATGGGGGAGGTGAACCCCAACGCCTGGGCCCAACCACACCCACAGAGCTGAGCCTCTGAGGAGGGGCCTCCTGGTGATTCTGGTGCACTAGGGCTGAGAACCACTGTCCTGGAGTATGTTGGACTCTAGCCCCCATCTCCCTCCCAGAGCTCACCTGCCAGGTTCTCCAAGGGCTCTGCTGGCCACTAACCTGGTAATTGGTCTACACAAGAGTTTGGTGAATTTTTTAAACAGGGGCCTTCTCTAGAAAGCTGTCAGCCACCTCAGGCTGACAGCTTAAATCAGATAGCATGTGAAGAAGCTTAATTACAAGCTCAGTTAAGTAGTTATTGCACCTGACATTGTCAAACCCAGTTCCAGACATTCTCTCTCCATCAGAGGTCATATCAAGGAAAGCAAGACTCCTGGAGATGAGGGCGAAGCTAGGCTTCGGCTAAAAACCGTAAAGCTTGTTGTGGGGGTGAGGGGTTTTCTTGCCTCCTGGGGTGGACAAGGGGTGGTGCTGAGCACACACAGAATGGGGAGAAGTACACTCCAGGGAAGAGGGGGTCAGGCCAAACAGCCCAGCTGATGGGTGACTCTCAGGACTGTGATGCAGTGGTGCTTGGTGGTCACAAGGGCTTGAATCCTAGCATAGAACCCTAGGAAGCTGGGTTAGTGTTCCAGAATGTGGTGTGTTGGCAGGGTCACTGGGCTGTGCCCAGGCCCCAGAGTGCAGAATCTCGCAGAACCTCAGTAGCTGCCCTACTCCACAGGCCTGTGGGGACTAAAAGGACTGTGTGTCTGGAAAGCTGTCTGGCAAGATGTAGAGGGATGTGTACACACAATGTGTGATCTTCATTATCTGTTTTTTTAGTTCCTGGGGATCAAGAGGCCAGTTACTAAAATGTTGCTGGGACTGGAGCTGTGAAGTGGAATATCAGAACAGGAAGGATTGGAGATCACTGAGTAGGAGGACCTTTGCTTTTCAGAAGAGAAAAGTGAGGCCCCAAATAATGTATACACATTTAAGTAAATGCAAAAATGAGAAAATAAAATTAAAAGAAAGAAAAGAACAATGAGGCCCAAGAGAAATCACTGGCAGAGTAGTCCTGTACCCAGGTGTCCTGCCTCCTAGACAAGCCTCTCCTCCACTTTCTGGCCATTAAAAAGGATTGGGTGAGTGAGTAGACATGAAGAGAAAGAGGACAAAACTTTCTTAAGAGGCTGCTGATATGCTTAGGAATTCAACTATCCCAGAATTGGCCACAAAATCCCGCTCTGCGTGGTGAACTTCATGGAAACATTCTGGAGTTAGAAATGAACTGGTAAGGAGGCTGTAGGTGTGGTTCAGGTAGTAAAGTGCCTGCCTAGCAAGCACAAAGCCCTGAGTTCAAACCCCAGCACACCAAAAAAAAAAAGTGAGTTGGTAAGGCTTACATTTCCTCTAACAGTCTGAACCTCAGAGGACAGGCAGCTAAGTGTGGCTCGGGGCCAGAGACTGATAGCTCTAGCACTAGTCATTCATGCTGACCCTGCTGGCCCTTCTGCTAGCCTCCTGGATAAACACACAGCAAAAGGACGGCAGCTTCCAGGCAGGCTGGAATCCACTGAGCTCCATCTGATGCCTGCTACATTATCCAGCTCCAGGCCACTTCCAGGAAATGCAGTCTAACTTGTACGCTCCAAGTACTGGTCGAAACTTAGAATGCACTATAGTCATGAATTAAGTAAGTCCTTCCTTTTTGAAAAAAAATAAAAAGCCAAGTCACTGAGAGAGACTTTGCTCAGAGCCTATTAACTGAAATCAGCTGGGACCAAGCATGCGCTCTCACCCAAAGTGAAGGGTATTTTTGGTTAGTTGTAGAAAATGGAAATTGGTTGCTCTGAGACCTCAGGAAAAAAAGGACGTAGGACATTAAAAACTTGGTGACTCTCAGCAAGGCAGCAAGTAAAAAGTGGCCTGATAATTATTGTCAAAAGGACTTTTTTTGTTTTTTAAAAAAAAGCTTCAACTACACTGTAATAGAGACAGAGGGTCAGTGTGGCCGGAAGACAGATAAGGACTAGTGATGCTCCTTTCTCTGTTGCTGTCCTTGCTCCTTGAGTATTGGATAATGGATCATAAATGATCAGGTCTGTGGTCTTCTAGGAAATAAATGCTGCGAACATTTAAAGCAGAGTTGTTTTCCCCTGTGGGCTCTTAACTGCCTGAAGCCAATCCTGCCTTGCCCTGGGGCTCCATGGGGAGACAGACCTAGGCTTCAGCTTCTTTTATAGCTGGGCCCCACTCCCCCTGAACCTCAAGTGCCCCGCAGATTCTGCTGGTGGGAGGTGGGGGTGGGGAGGGAAGCTCCTTTGGGCAGAGCTTGCTGACAATAGCTGTAATTCTGGCTCACATGGGCAAAGCTATTCAGCCTCTGGCTCTAGGGCCACGATCTCCTCCTCACAGGGCTGTTTCTATTTGGACCTCATTGTTTCTCCACCTCTAGCAGGTCCCAAGAGATCTGTCTTCTTTCCCCTTTTTTCTCCCCAATCTCCTCCAACTAAATAAAATAAAACCTGGTCTTGTCTATCGTGTCTCTCCATCAGCAGCCAGCTTCAATTATCCATGCCTGGATTATCTGTGGCACATGGCCAATTGAGGGTTTGCCGCACAGACATTCCTGAGCACGGACAGAAAAGCAGCCACTGCCAGCTTGGGGAGCATGAACTCATTTCATTATCAGCCTGGGCCAGACATTTGGAGGGGAAATCTGCTGAAAGAGAATCGCACACTGTGCTCCCCAGCCAAGAGTAAATGCAGCCCGTACTGTTACTGGCTCTGTCATCTGTGCCTGGCTTCCCTCAACCCGCCGGGCTCCTCAGTGCCTGTGATGACACAGCTGTTTCTCCAGCAAGTTGTAAGAGCCAATGACACTCTTTAGTTCCAGGCATACCATGACTTGACTCCTGCCACTCGCTTTCCCTTGTTTTTTTGTGGTGTGAAGAGCAAAGCTGGGGGTGGTCAGCACAGAGACTCCCAGATGGGCCAGTGACAATTAT